CATTTTCTTTTTCAATAGGGTTTGGCTAGCATCATGAATAGAAGGGTCCTTTCTAGAGGCCTTTTCATACTTCGGACGAATACAAAAGTGAAGCGAATTTGACGTCACAGGAAAACTTCCAGCGAAATTTAGCCTGAGTGGAAATGTATTCAAGTTTTACAAATGTGCAACATGAAAATTTGATCTGATGTTACAAAGTCATATTCGTGTTTGCTTTTGCGCTGAGTATGAACAGGCCTTAAGAACCTTCACATGTAGCTCAGTACCTGAATGAAGAAATACCGGTAACTTTGGGCTTCTCCAGGTCTCCCTGTAATAAAGGCGATTCAAAATAGTGTGCCTCCAAGAGTTTGCAATGCATTGGCCAATCACCATGCGTGAAATCTCCGCATTTCCAAATGCGGAGTGGGTTGACAGATTTCACACATTGTGATTGGTCAATGCATTTGCAAACTCTTGGATGCCCACTGTTGTGAAGTGCCCGTATTGCATCACGAACATTTTCATGGTGTCAGTCTCTCCTTGGAATCCTTTGAAATCACTTGTTTTAATTTTGACTTTCCGTGGTTCATGTACATGTACCGGTGCAAGGCAAGTCTGATGATGATTCACCTGTAATCCTCAACATTAAAATATCTGCAATTGTTCTCATGCTTTGTCTTTCCTTTAAATAGACAGGCCGGTACTTGTCATTGTACTAGATATAAATGTACATCTGTGTACCTGCTAAATTGTGCGCGTACATGTACATGTACATACCAATACATGTACATGTACGTTCATGTTACCTTTACTTGTATACATGTATAATACATAATTTGATACATGTTGTAATGGTGCTTTTGTGATTTTTGTACTGGTATTTTTTTTTTTAAATGAAATCACCTACATGTAGGATTTTGCCGATATAGTTCAGTTTGGAATATTTTAGGGGATGCAGCATAAAGTCTATTCAGGATGTCAGGTTTTTAACTAAATTAGTTTTTTTTGAGGAGCACTGACCTTATCAGAGGAACTTGAAAAGATAGTCATAAGTGGGAAACTATCGTGTCGCAGCTTCCGTTATGGAAGGCCCTCTATGATAAATTGCAGTTACAAGAGAGAACACCTGCGGTATGATTGCAGATTTTGTGATTCTATTATGTATGAGTACATACATGTACATATAAGAAACTGTACACAGTAAAGTTACATTGTACATGTACATTTTGGCCTTCAATGAACCAATTCAGTATTCCAAAAAGATGAGATCATTTGAGAACAAAGCACGCGATCTTGAACATTTCTTGTTCATTGGTTAGAGCTTTGCTGATGTTGACCTTATGCATGTATATTGCTGTTTTCGAATGACCTCCAACACCTTTCATCTTGGGCGTGCACCAGTGGAATACCTGACTGGATCATGGTGACCATGGAGGAATAAGAACACATTGGTACATTACACAGCAGTTCAAAGTTAACACTGTGAACAGGAATGGGAAAGTTTTTCTTGAAAATAATTTCCATTCACATTTGACAAGATGCGGAAATATTTTCCAGCCTGCGGGAAATTGTTTTTGACATTTTTTAAATATAAATGAATTCCCTGGGGAAATTTTTTTTCACATTTCTGAAAAAGCGGTAAATATTGATTTCCTGGGAAGACAAAAATTGTAAAAAGAATTTCCCATTTATAGGTTAACTTCCAATTGCGGTGTAATGTGCCTTTGGTAGTTGATGGTGCAACCAAGAGCCTTGGTGTCATTTTTGGGGCTTTGATTTGTTAATGGATTGGGATATATTAAAACTGCATGACATGACATAGGATTTTTTTGGCGATGTAATACACAACAGACCTACATGTACACTGTACATGTATTGGAAAGCACACAGAAATGCTGAGAAGAATTGTACTTCTGAGAGAATGTGCAAAGGCTTTGTATTCACCACGTTCAAACATTCTCTCTCCGCAAAGCGTGCAATTAATGCTCTTTTTAAAACACCCTTGAAGTTTATTTCAAAGGATCGTTAGTGGGAAATATATTATACACACAGAATGGCTACCAATTATATAGAGAACTTTCACATGCAGAGACACATTTGCATATATACACGTGTCTGTGTAGGCCTAAATCTAGCAATATGAATAGATCCGCAAAGCTGTATAACCAGTCATTCCAATGCTTTGCACTACCAGGGTGGATGTGCTGGTACATGTACATAGTACACTGTACATGTACATGTGCTAGATGCAAGTACATGTACTAAACACACATGGACATCTGTACACATGTACATTATCTTGAACACTTTACCAATGGCAGTAGTGTAATCCCACATTTGCAGCTGGTGGTTAAAATGCCATACTCTGTAGTTGGAGCTAAGTTTATCTCTGAAACATAAATAACGCACTTATACGTGTTCAGGGATTCATCCTCAGTTCCAATACACATGTACATGTACAGGTACATGTACATGTGATGAATTTATTAAAGAGAGAAGTACAATGTAGGAGTAGTGACAAATTGACCATTTTCTACAGGCTTCACACTGAAGTGAACCAAATGATATCCCCACTGTGTACAGTAGACATGTGTGTACAGTACATGTACCTGTAGTTGTATATGCATATCAGATTTCCAATCCACTGTCACTTGTGCAGTACATGTACATGTACATGTACATGACATAACAAATACAAGGCCACACCAAAAGTTTGGCCTTGTATTCAAGTACTACCGGTAGTCACAAATACCTAAATCATTCAATTAAAAGTCAAGAACCCACCTGCAAATTATAACCCTGGATTTACATGTACATGAAATTGCAGATTTCATCCTGATACCTTGTTAATTAAAGCACTGTGTACCCGTACTTGTACAATGTACTGTACATGGTACAGAACACAAGTGTGCATTTTCCCCTTGTATTAAAGTTACGGGCAACTGAAGGGTTTAATATTATCAGGGAAAGACACTGTCCCACATCCAAGTGCACAACTTAATTTACTTCTAGAATTGAGAGAGCGGAATCTAATGCTGAATCCGCTGTTATTAGCAGTTACTGGCCACAGGACTGCGTGGGTTGCATGATGAGGAAATTATGCATGGGGTTTCACTGAATTGTGAGGGAGAATAGTAGCCCCTAGAACTGAATTTTCCTGCGGCTAGTGTCAAATACCAACAGCATAGCTTCTGAATTGTCTTAAATTTTGACTCTCCTTAATATTCTGATCAGATAATGGTGGGGTAGGGGTGGGAGGGGGGAGAAAAGGGGGGGGGACAAAGTGTGTTATGAGAGGTAGAAGTACATACCATCACATGTACATGTACAGGAGGCATTCACTGACACAGGCTTTTGTAGGGACTTTGTATTCCCATGTGATCATGCCAAGGCCTGATTTTGCTGTGTTGCTAAACACAGGCATTTCCTGTTAGTTAAGAACGAAGCAAAAAAAAATGTCATCAGCATTTGCAGTTTGTTTTTGCACTGTACATAAATTTGCTGAGTTGTGGTTTCTGCTTTGAAAGCAGGTCTGTGAATTTGGGCCTGGATGCTTTCCTCATATGAAGGTGCTGCAGGTTTGTACCCATTCAGTTACAGTTTGGTCACATGGCATACAGACGTGGAATTGGTACTCCGCGATATGTTTCCAGTATTTCTTTGCCATCCTGAGTAAGACACGCATCTAGTGAATTTCTTGACTCGCTTAACCGCTTCTGATGCATTGTGTGCAGTGTGTGTGGAAGGTTGTAAACAGGAAGTCCCACCTCATTAGTACATGTACGTGCAAGCTTGTGCTAAAATCTTTACAGTTCTCACACAACGCTGACTACACACAAATTATGTGTACGTGGTGCTTATTAAACATGTTAGTGAAGAAGCAAAAAATTGGTATTAAAATTTAAGGGTACACCATATCACCAGGTGCAATATTACAGTCTTGAATATTACCATTAATCCAAGTATTACAATTCATTTGCCATGTAATGGTTGTAACACAGTTGATGTCCTGTGTACAGTTTGTACACTGCCTGGATGTCTTGCCATGTACATGTGCATGTAGGTACGTGTACTTCACTTTACTGTAAAGGTAAATGCACTTGCTGACTACAGAATCTGATCAACCCCAGGGCACAAGAGAACACGTGGTGCATTCTGTTAACAGAGAGTACAGGGAAACTTGTGATGCATTTGGAAGCTTACAGGTGTAAGTACTAGTACATGTACCAGTACATTTGTGTGTAATCATCTATATAAAAAAAAACCTAGAAAGTTGTAATAGAAATGTTGCCTAAGGAATCATTTCACATACTTGTACAATACATTTATGGCATTGTACCTTTAACAATGCCTCAATTGTTAGTGTAAATTTGTTTCCATATTATTGGTTTTTAGTGTCATTTGCAGTTTATTATACCGGTACATAGGTACATCTGTACATGTGTGTCCACTTGAAGAGTTTATTTCCAAAATGCGATAAGTGCCATAGTATTTTTCAGAATCCTACATGTACCTGTTCTCAGTTGCCTGCAGTCAGTTTTGACAATTAAAATAGTGAGAAAGAAGTTTAGGGACACTCGGTACACTGTTAAAGCTCTCCTACCGTATCTATCATAATTGTAGAAAAATTGCTTGTTTTTCAAATGGATATATCTCATTTTGGAAATAAAGACTTCACTTAGTAATAAGGAAAGCCCATGGACAATTTGAAAATATTCCTTTTGGTGAAAATGAAGAATTTTTGTCTTGCCATCTCACTCTACGTGTATATTTTGAGGTGCTCCAGTTGATCTACATGTAGATTCTTTTTTTCAAAAAACTCAAACCAGACCAGTGGAAATCTTGTACATGTATTAATCACTTTGTTGGCTGATTCTTTGAACCATTGAGAATTTAAGGGGAAATTTTTTTTAGTGTGTGAACTATGCTACAGTATCTCCATCTAGAATGCATATGTGCTTTGCTCTCTGTGTGTTTGATGCCACACTGTCTTTCTCTATGGATTTTGCCGTCCACAGGAAACAAGTTGGACTGTTTTGGTGTGGCGGTTGCCGTGGTAGCAGCATGCCAGATTCTGGGCTATGAGGACGTTCATCTGGCACTGTCAGAGGATCACGCCTGGGTGGTATTTGGAGAGGACGGGACCGACACGGCCGAGGTCACATGGCACGGCAAAGGGAATGAGGACAAGAGGGGACAGTCCATCAAGCTAGGTATGACATTGACAGGGATGTCCTTGTTTACAAGTGACTCTTGGAAGGCTTTTCCAACCTCTGCCGTGTCACTGACTTTGGCATGACTTTGGCAGAATCCCCACCTCCCCCTGGAAGTCTAAAATGACTTGGCTCGTTTAGGGTCACATGTGTAGGCCACTGATCAGTTTTGCTAATTGAGAGGATAAGAGGGATTCAAGTTACGAATTGTATTTTGCACGACGAGAAAGACATGGTTTTTATGTACATGTATACATGTATTTACATTTATGTACATGTATGTACAGTGTATACATAGTACTAATGCATTACACTGTACAGTGGAACGTCGCTATACGGAACCCCGCTATACTGAACATTTGGCTGTACTGAACATCGGCCTTGGCTCCCAATATTTTGTGCACAAAACCTACCGAACATTATGTAGTTGCAATCAAACCTCAAACGTGAATGCAACGGTAAAACATTACGAAAACAGCGAATCATAGTATCACAAGAGGATGCACTTAAGTTAGACAAAAGAGGGCGCTATTCGACATGGCAACGAAATGTTCAGCAGTTAATTTCGCTTTACCGAACATTTAGAGTGGACCCTATCGTGTCCGTTATAGCGGCGTTCCACTGTACATGTACTGTACATTATTTCAGTACTTGCCAAGGTTCAAATAAGCATAATTCAGAAACTATACCAGTGCCCATCCTAAGTCTTTAGGGAAATGTTGGTTATATCTTAAGCTAACAATTAAACAAAACCCACACAGTTGTGCAAATCAAGGTCAAAGGACACATATTTGCATAATTATTGGAATAATATAGATTTTATTTTATTAATGAAGGCCATTTCAAGAGCATTAAAATGATGTAAATTTTATCTCTGTCGGTGCTTTACTTCAGGAGATATATGTATGGCTGTCCAAACAAAGCAGGTCAAGCGAATATTAGTTTGTTATCCTGTATCTCTAAAAGTTGACTGATTAAGATAAAATTTCAGTTCTGGGGAACTTTCTCAAGGAATCCAATCAGCATACCAAATTTTATTTCAATCTGTGATGGTCTGGTCCAAAAGCGTGTTGAATTTACACAGAATGAGCCTCAATAAAAACTGTAGCAAAGATCTCATTCCTACTTAAATCGCCCAGCCTCTATTTATACCAGGCTAGTGTTAAGAGCATTTTTACCTGATTTGGATATTAAAGGCTAAGCAACTCCAGGCTTAATGGGGAGACCAAAGTCGGAGACATTGTTCAAGTTTAGTGAAAGTGAATGCAGGCAAGTTCGGGTGCAAACTATAATTTGACCACTGGTTAATTACTTAGATGGAAAATGAACCGACAAGAATACAGGCTGAAACAGCTGTGTTCATCCAGAGGACAAACACACCTCTAGTTTGTATCTCAACATCCACCGTCATTCAGTTGACTGAACAATCAGACTAATACCAGTTTATTTTCCTCAAGGATCTTGCACTGTTGCACTCTCAGCAATGCCTGTCTGCCTCCGCCTTGCCTTCAGCCAGCTTTGTATCTCCGTACACGTACTTAACCTCAGCCGACATCCACAGTAATTGCGTCTCTGTCAAAGGAAATTTCTTGTGTTGCAGGCGTATTGTGTCTGAGTTGAATGTGTAAACACTGGCAGTGCATGTAATATGTAATGCCATGGAATAAGGGTAATACTAACAAGATTTGTCAGGTGTTAAGTTCATGTTCACGTGCATACATACACGCTATACTGATTGTAAAGAACTCCTCTGAATAATCCAGATGTTGATGGATTGTTGGGGAACTATGGAAAATGGGCATTTTCTGTTCACTGAAAATGTTTAAGTATCAGACATGTATTTCAGTTGGTTTGAAGACAAATCTTAGCATTCCCTGATGTGCGTTTTGGCTTCTTGAACATGAAATTTAAAAATTATGTCTAATTGATAAAATTGAGATAAAATTGAGATACACAAATTCTGCAAGTATTATCCAATTACACGTACTTGATTGATCCATCTGTGCATCAGTTATTGGTTACATTTTTTCTGATTATTGAAAACCATTTTGTGAAAGTAACAACTTCCCTTCAGATGGTGAAAAGAGGTTTCAAAATCTTCTTAAACCCAAATACTCAAACATGTTCAAGCAAAGAAAGTGTGGGACGAACACAAAGGAAAAAGTTGTATTTGGGTACAGTTGGAAGAAGTGAACTTTAAAGAAAGATGCTTGCTTGTCTTATTGTTATATTGATTCAACTTTAACAGTGTTTAGTGTGATAAATCAAGTTCCTAATTGAAAAGGGAACAATGAATCAATAGTAAAATAATTTGACAACTTGCAGGCCTGTTGTTGTGCTCATCAGACTCATTTGAGATTTTGTTTTAATAAGATTCTGCATGGATAGTTTGGCTACAGTGCTGCTGGCCACAAGATTATCGACTGAAAACTGTTTCTCTCTGAAAATCTGTCAGAACAACTTGACTAACTGTCCACTGAGGGAACACTCCAACGCCTGCCAGGAATCAGTACGTCCGAGAAATGACCAGTGTTGTCAAAGCTTCATGCCAAGTTCATGGACATACTGTGCATGTGTACAGTTGTGTAGTTTCATTTCCTGAATCTTGATACAGTAAGAACTTAGGAATCAACATCTTTATCTGTGTCACAGGAACTTCTTGGTTTGGTTTTTGGGTGGTTGTTTTAATCAATCTTATCCCTGTGTACTGCTTTTTATATTGTATAACTTTCTTTAGTTCTCACGAGCACATGCAAGTACCATATTTACTAAGAAAACATGTCATGACATGTATGGGGCCCTTTAAGTTACTGGTGTGTTGGTAGCATTGCTATGAACATTCTGCAGCCTGTTTTACACAGATATTAGCATGCAGGAAATGGAAGCTGTGATGCAGTTTTGTTGTTTTAAAATGTTTGTTAACTGTAAATGTTATGTTCATTAGTAGAGGGTAAGTTTATTGCCCCTTCCGTTTTTGTGTGAGTTCCTCAGCATAATGTCCGCTGAGCGTCAAGGCATATACCGGTACGTGTACTGGTACGCTTCTGCAGAAACAGTGTCTAAGACACTAAGATACCAATTCATAATTGTTGCCTGCGGTGTGAGGGAGTCCATGGTGTTTTGTACACCCGAGGGGGCAAATGACACTCGAGGTGAAGCCAAGGGTGTCATTTGTCTTGGAGGCTGTGCAAAAGCCATGGACCCCCGTCACAGCAGGCAACAATGGCTTTGTTACATCATGTTCACAGACTACACTGGAACGGACTTACATGTATAATATATGAAACTGTTATTGCAAAATAAATTAAAACACTTTGAAAACTTGAAACACTTGAACAGCAAATTAGATATTAAATGACAAAAAAGTTTTGATCGTGATGTCCTTTGTTGACCTACCTCTATGCTTTTGGGTTTTTGCAGGGGGGAGGAGGGCAAAATCTAGAACGTATAAAAAACTGGTTTGCTAGACAAACCTTAGGATGCGTAAAACACTGGGTTGTTTGTTAACTGGTTGAATTTCAAGATATTATTTGCTCCAAATTCCGTTGAAAACTATGGACAAGATTGAAGAGTGGATGAGAACAGATAATGGCATGAGCATTTTATATAAAACAGCAATGGCGATCACAGCAGAAACAGTGATCAGAGCATACTCGTGTTCCTCGAGCGTAGCCGGGTGAATGAAAAGAAGTTTAATAACGCGTGGGTCTCTCCCATGGCCAGAGTGAAGAACGTAGCACATGCACACATCTACAATAATTGGCGCATAGTACCACCGCGGCTATCCACCTTGTTTTCAATTACAATGCAGTACACACGACACATCAACACTGGGAAAGATCACCATTAGCCATCATTTTTTGTGGCCGGCAACATTGCCAGTGTGCTTGACACATGAATGATACTTGTAGCATATCACATGATCAATTTGTGACCGTGGTATAACAATAATATTTGGCTCATGTTTGAATAAGAGAGAGAGGTTTAGCAGTCTTCCTTAAAGTGGCACACCACATGCACATGTTTGTTTGCACATGTCTACAGAGTACATGTGCATACCAGTAATTTCATGAATCCTGGAGGGTTTTGTGAGAACAGCGGGCATGTTGCATCAATGGCATTCTACCTCAGCCTAGCTCTCCCTTTGTCATCAGTGAGGGGGTGCTTGCACTCAGAGAGGATACACCTGTAGTAACCTTGTCCCTTTGGTTGTTTTTATTCTCTCTCTCTTTTTGATGTAGGCGTTGCTGAAGGAAGCTGGCTCTATCTCAACGATCACCCAGTAGTCTGTGACAGGAGGATGGAGGTGGCTGCCCTAGTCTCGGCAATTAATCCCTCCATTAATTCTTCGCTTGACAGTATTGAGCTGGCATCCCTCCAGCAGGTAAATAAAGGAGCCAATCTGAGTACTTGTAAATGCACAGTTTATAGCGAGTACAGTACCGTAGAGGATAACAAACGACCAGGTTTGCCATCCCAGCGGCGCATGCTAAAACAAATTTGACACTTTTTACTTACAAAAGCCGGGAAAATGAGCTGGCCAACTTCCACGTTCTGTCGTTCTGCATCTATTCAAAAAGAAAGTCCGTATCTTCACCGAAGTTTGAGCACACAAGACATCTTTAAAAATGATGCAGTTCTAAGTTGTCAAAATTTTGTCGTAACTCTAGGAGAATTCTCTTGCATCAGTTCTGCTGTGATGTTGCATACACAGTGTGAATTGTTTATCCCAGAAGGAAAACTTTTCTGTTTGAATGTGCTTTCTCTGATTAAAATACGGAGCTAACATTCTCGTGTTATACATTACTTTGATGTTGAAGTTTTCTGTGCTTTTCAAATTTTATTTTACTTTTCACATTTGCACCCACTTAATATATCTCAACTCTCCTTTTGCTGGAACAGTCACAGTCGAAATTGCCTCCACTTTTGGCTGTCTGTGAAACAGTCGCAGACAGTCAAAAATTCTGTCCACTTCATTTATCACATTACATCAACACGTACGATTTTGACTGTTTAACCCTAACCTCCTCGGGTGTATGCAAAATCATGTTGAAATCGGAGGATTTGGGACTGTTTATAGGGTGTTGTTTATTCACTTATTTCAGGGGACTCTTTTAACAAGTACACTAGGTAAAAAAAGAGAATTGATTTGTTTTTTATTTATGAGAATAGGGAAATCAACAAAACAACTATTTTTTATGCATTTTAGAGTTAATATTAGTTAATTCCTGAACTGATAAAATGCCTTTTCCTGTCATCCACAAATTTGTCTCTCTCCACCCACACGTTACTCAGAATCCACTGGTTAACAGTCCAATGCCACCACTGCTAGGAATGAGAAGTATTTCAGATCATTTAATCCCGCCAGAGCTAACTTCAGACAAAATTTGAGGGGCCGAATGATGAGATGCCACTAACAGACCACCCCGGAAGAGTTTACATTCATGTGTGCACTGCACAGGTGAATTAACTTCTGTGTGTGTGCGCACATGATATGTACACATACACAGTGTGCTTTGATTGGAGCTGACAAGGAATACCCATTATTGCATTGGTGGGGAATGTACTTCCTCCTTTCTGATGTTCTTTCTGTCTGAACATGTTCCTTATGTGGACATACCGCACATGTACATGCATGTACATATAACAGCTGTGTTTGGGCTGCTCTTTTTTCCACACATGTATTTTTATATCGCTATTTTGTTCATAGAAGAATATGTGCTTTCTTTTTTAACAAGAACTCTGAAAATACTCATTGCTTCAGAATAACTTCTAGTGTGAGTGCTTTTGTAGTCTAAGTGTACTTTCCTTTAACTTTACAATATCCATGTATTGCAGGATATTGAATAAGCTTCTAGTTGTTATGCATGGTTATACCAAGGACAGAGAAATGCATTGATAGAAATAATTTCCCCATGTACAGTGCACGGTAAGTGCAAAAGGCATGTTACGAGCAAATTTCCACTGAAAACTTTTTTCTTTCAGTTTTTACAGTCAGTGGTAACAGTGTCAATGAAGCTATCGACTGATGGTATGAAAGGTATTGTCAAAAGAGATCCGGTTCAGAAATTACATCCCCCACAGGCTTCATTGTGCCTAAGTAAATCAGTTAATGTCATATCGCTTTGCAAATGTTGTTGTTATCACTGTCAATCATGCAGGCCCTGGGCCAAGGGTAGGTCCCACATGTACACATGTACATGTCATGTCGTGTATGCATTGTAATGTCATGAGGTAGGGTAGAACGGGATAGCGTGAGGGTTTTGATAGTGATCATGGTGATACGTATACTGTACGTTCATGTAGCTTTCCGGCAAAAGGAGAACTTTAAAAGGTTAGTGTGAGGAAATCTCAAGCAGGGACTTAGCTTCTTGAACTGGAAAATCACAGGCACATGGTTGCCATGGTGGAATTTGCACCAGATCTCAAGGCCAAGGAAAATTACCAGCCAGACAAGCTCAGGCAGTCTTTTATCTATTAACTCCAAATTAATGGAAGTTCCTGATGAATTGTATTCAAATAGATGCACACAGGTCATGTGCCCATCCTTTGTAAACACGCCTGCTTCATGAACCCACACAGAGACACACACACTGTGGCCCCTGATTTCACATTTAGAATTTAACAAGGGAAAGGGTCACAAGATAGCAGTAGCCACTACTGCCGTCGTCGGAGAACAGAAACCAAATCGATTCTCCGAGCAAGAGCTGTCTGGTGCATATGTGTGTGTGTATGTTGGCTGCAGAACAGACAGTTGTCACTGACTCATTCCTGGCACAATAAGTTACCAGTCCAATGCATGTGGGGTTGGCAGAGCATCATTTGCAAGCCAAATATGGAACTGAAAGAAGAACTACCACCCCTCATCCCCCAAAAGAAACACACACTAGCCTAGGAATCAAAGGCAATTGGATAATGAGTCATAGAGCCAGCCAGATTAATTACTGCAGTGGGCTATATGCTACTCTCCTTGTACACGTTCGTGGCCCCCCTCATATATTAACCTTTTCGCACACAATGCCAGCCGATTCAACTCCTCTTTTATTTGTCATTATTACTGAGTCAAGCTGAGTCATTCTGATTAAAAATTGATGGAGAATTGGGATGGGGAGGGATAATTGTGCGACAGTGAGTGGGGGCTACTGGTGGTGCACGCTTTTGAAGTTGAATACAGTGAATTTAAAACAAAGAAGTAAACATTAGATTATGTCCTGCAGTTTTTTATGCTTTTCAGTATCTTCACTTGAAGACTGGGATTTTTTTGTTGTAAACTTGAAATGTGCATTTTTTTTATGTTATAACCGGACCACCGGTACTTTTGATTTTGCAGCAGCACAATTACTGAACAATATACATGTACATTGCATGTGTACACTTATGGATGGGATGGGGTCAGCATGGGATCGTGGGAGGTAGGATGGGATGGAGTGGGAATAGGCGCAGGTGGAATTGGGTATTCAGTGGGATGGGACACAGATAAAAGAGGGTTGGATGGGATGGGGTTGGGTGGGATGGGATGGGGTGTGATGGGATGGGATGGGATGGGATGGGATAGGGTGACTTTGGGATAGGTACAGTTGGGATTGGATTTAGAGGGATGGGGCTAGGATACATGCGGGATGGGTTGGAGAGGGGTACAGGTGGGATGGGATAGGATGGGGATGGATGGGGCTGGGGTACAAGTGGGATGGGATAATGGGATGGGTTGGGATGGGGTACAGGTGGCATTGGATAGTCAGGTGGGATGGGTTGGAGAGGGGTACAGGTCCAGGTGTCACATTTTGTTTGAGGGACAGGGCAAATGGCTTTAATGGGTTGGTCAATATACATGTATAAGGGGCACTGAAGCCAATGGTGGGGCAATGAGGCCATCATGTAAATAAGACTTTAGGCACCAAGGCCATTTTTGCTATTTAGTTATGCAGTCTTATAAAGCTCTTCTGTGCACAGTATTAGATTATGCAGAGTCTGTGAGGTGTTTGTTCAACTGTGAAATTAATTAGCAAGTGGAGATACGGGTCAATCTACATGTACCAAGTTGGGGCAAAAGTATACAGGTGTCCATCCGGACACCATCGGGTGTCCATCATGCCAACTGCATATTGAAAATGTACCCCTTCGTTCAAATTACTGGAGTGGATAGAGTATAGTACCGTGTTACATTCACTTATGTACACGTAATCATAGCGAAATGACTTGCAGATTACGGTAATGAGGTTCTTGTCCACTCATGTGTACACCACAAAAATGTTACTGGGTCAGTATTTTAATGCAACTTTTTTTTACAGTGGGAAGTGCTTTCTAAATTTCGACAGATGTAACTGGGCAGTTTAGAGAATAAAACACAGTTTTGACATATGGTATGTCACACAAAAAAAAAGATTTGCAAAGTGAAGTATATTAATGTAAAATTGAATTAAAAGTTTCATTCAAATTACTAGAGTGGGTAGAGTATAGTACCCTGTTACATGTACATTCACTTACATGTATAGTACACATTGATTGGGAAATGACTTGCTGATTATGGCAATAAGGTACAAATTAGAAATAAAACATTGTGCATATGAACCAAGTTTTGTACAGAGTTTGTGGGCAGCAATGAACTCTAAATAATCTTTTCCGATGATTTTTAATAAATAACTACTGCACATTGAATTTCTGCCCCAACCGACAGACCGTATTTTGGACAGATCCAGGGTCCAGTCATCACGACCCCTTTTACCAATACTTAAGGTCAAAAGCTATGAAGAAGTTAGTCATGACCATGGTCATGTCAATTAAGGCAAAAAATAGTTCTCCTTCTGATTGCATGCCTCCCAAAAATAGGGTCGGTACATGTAGGTCAGAATTTTTTGGGGGGAGGGGTCAATATTTTGTTCTGATTGATTGACATGAATGGGGACGAAAGCTTCTAAACGTCTCAAAAAGTGATAGAAACCTATCTTAATCTATGTACAAATTTCTACAGTCAACAATTCACAAGAATTATGGACAATTCACACAGTGCTAGTCAGGTAATCATGACGGCAAACTGGCCAACAATGTCCGTGTATCGTGCGTAAGCATACATGATGCATTTGGGCGGGCGATAAACCTCGTGCTGCGGCAGGAAATTTTGTTGAAACATGCTCGTTTCAAGTACGAGCAAAACAACCTCAAATACAAGTTTTGTGAATTAACTTGCAGAAATTCTCTCACAACATCAACTTTTTTTGACTTACAGCTGTAGGGTTGCGTGAGTGTATGGCAGATGTAGTGTAATAGACCGGGATGTTTAGACTGGTTGGCACATTTCCATCAGGCGTTCTTTGCATGGGTGCGGTGCAGCAGGAACCAGCTCGGCACTGCTTTAATGCATTGAGATTTGCGCACGTGTTTTTACCACTGCGACAGTGAAATGCATAGGGAAGTCGTGAAAACAACGGAAGTTTCTTTTCAAAAATTGCCAATGTTTGTGGGAGAACACATAAAACGATGAGCAGCGGAAAGTCGATCCGTGTTTCTGGTCAGTCCTAAGGGCGACACACAGTGTTCACCCAGAGGGCATCCACGGCCATGGCAGAAAAGGGGCAGGCCATTTTGGCCCCCTTTCAATGCCGAAATACTAAAGGCATCAAGGTCAATTCGAGCCCTGCAGGTCTGATTGGATAGGGATGGGTGCAGGTTGGATGGGGGTGGGATGGCAAGGGGGGATGGTTTGGGTAAGATGAGGTACAGTATGAGGTACGGTCAGTAGGATTAGCTTTGGTTGGGATGGATTTGGACCGTAGGCTGCCTTGGAGGATGTAGTACTTATTGGTACCTGTTGGCAAGGTGTGAACTAGTGAAGCAAGGGATTGAAGGAGATTTCTGATGGGAGAAACCTAATGATAGTCTTTTTTATTTCTCCAAGGACCTGATGTGGTTACTCTATGATCTTGGACATCTTAAAAAGTGAGTAGCTTCCTCTGAATTGCACGTACATACTGGTACACTTCTTCAGATTACTGGACAGATTTTTCCTTGACGGACAAAGTTCTGTTCTTACATGTGGCCACTGTGCACAACTGCAAATAACCCTGTCGTTCATACCCATTTTTTGGATTGCTCGGAAAATTACTCTTCTGTAGCCAGAGTTGACACCAGTAGATATTATCATTCATGTGCTTTGCATACATGTGAGCATCATTTCTCCCTGGTACCCTGTGACTACTGTTTCGTGATGCTTTTTAACATTGCGCACCAAGATGCAGCCAAATCACTGACTCCGGCTGTGGTCAGTAGGCCTGGCTGTCACTAGCAATTGCCAAACATGCTTAAATGCAACTACATGTATACGGATATCTGAACCATTGATGCTGAGAACTGGTTCCAAATCATGGGACCCGGTGCCCATAATCAACATTGCAAGTTATGTTGTAACCTTTTAAGATTTGTAAGAAATAGTGCTAGGCTTGGAAAATTCTGGAGAATATGTTTACAACAAAACCATGAAGTGGTAAAGCAGATTCACATTTATGTGTTTTTTGTGTCAGGAAGAGGTTTTTGTTAATGTCAGTGAATGGATAAACTCCCAAATCAAAAAAGATTAACATCTAATTATCATTCTTGAGCAGCACTTCACATAAAAAAAAAAATTGGAGAATTTGAATTCATTTTTCACACATGCATTTTTTACTGGGAATTTTGGGGTTAGGTTACTTTTATGGGTACCGAGGTCCTGGTACCCGTGTTTTTCTTCAATGGGGTACCTGGTTTTGATACTGCCCTATAAGTGCACATTGCATCCCACCACCACCACCACCACCACAGGCCAGTGACTATCTATCTAGGTCTTTATGGGTGCCAGCCAGACTCTTGGATGCAGCCTCAGGTTTTCCAACCCTTTACTCTATACTTTTTTCACTCAAGATTGTCCTGAATGCAGCATGACTTGTTCACATTTAGGTACCCAATGGCCCTCGGTAACCTTGGTGACTTGGAGAGTATAGACCCGACACCGGGAAGGCCGTCAACCATCGAGTTGTTCCAAGAAGCCATAGCTGTAGGCCAGAATGAGTACGATAACCACCACGTGTACCCCTACACATATTTAGGAGGCCACCTGTACCGCAAGTATGAGTATAAGAGAGCCATGGAGCAGTGGGCCGAAGCTGCTGGTGTAATCAGTCGGTAGGTTCCACGGTGTTGTAGTCGGGTCTATCACAAGTTTAAATCTGAAGTCCAGTCACAAGACCAGCCACAGGACGGATTCTGTTACTGTTCGCTTGAATAGCTTGTGACTTGGCATAAGACTGAGTGAGTCATCATGGACTTCCATGGACTTGTCATGGATTTGCCACACTGTTCTGGCAGTAGGGCCAGAGGTTTTTCTCAAGTCAAAATTTCAGTTAGAAGAGTGTTAAAAGCAGCTTTCCATACTATACGTCTCATGCAATGAATGTCAACCGAAAATGGCAAGACACAGTTTCCTGCTAAAAATATTAAACAGAACCACCAGCAGGTAGGTAGGTTATTTGCAACAGAACTTTTTTCACTTCACATGCATAAATTACATCTCCTGTGTACATCCCCATGGGATTCCGTATATCGTATATTGTTTCATTTTCTGTTGAAGTGGAATGTCATTCAGCCTGTGCATGTTTTTGTACTACTTTGTTGTTCTTTCCAGGTACAATTACAACAGAGAAGATGAGGAAGTATACAAAGAGTTCATGGAGATAGCAAATGATCTGATCCCGTACATCCTCAAGACAGGCTCTGCTGGTGATTCAGAGTCACCCATGAAAGTCATCAATGACCCTGCATGCTACGGCTACTTTCTGCGCTTCTATGACGGCATCTGCCTGTGGGAGGAGGGGAGCACCACCCCTGTCCTGCATATCACCTGGGCCAAGCGCTTCATTGCCTCGCTGACGCGGTTCTCCGCTGACATCCGGGAGCTGGTGGAGGTAGAGTCAGGTAGGTCCGGCAGGTTAAGCTCAGAGGTGGAAGCGCAGGGAGAAAACGGAAACCAGGAGGAGTCGAAACAGGTTAAGACTGATGACATCAAGGAGGAGGAGACAGAGACAAAAGAAGAGGCCACAGGAAAAGAGGCAGGCGATAAGAAGAAGGAAGATTTTAATCAGAATATTGTTTCAAGAGGTAAGAGGCAGCAGAAAGCTGGACAACCTTCTGACAGCCAGGGACGGACTGATACCAAGGGCATTGACTCAGCAAGTGCCGCGGCGCCCTTTGTTGATGCTTCCTGTAGTGACACCATGCTCAGCTCAGAGACGGACTTTAATGACTTCCTGAGCACGAGGAGCAACGGGAGCGCCTTCCCCGGCATGACCATGGAGTCAGTCATGAAGGCCGAGAGCCCCGCTGAGATGGCCTTCAGCCGCCGCTGGAAATCGCAGATGTCAGAGGAGGAGGAAGAGGAGGAAGAGGGCAAGGATGTCAGGGAGGACCCAGACGGCCTCCACTCTGACAGTGAGGACTGCCCGGACTTGCCCGTCTGCCGGCCACCCATGGCCCACATCCTTCTCTACAGTGCCAAGATGCTGGCTCTCAAGGAGATCCTGACCACCTCAGGGAAGCTGAACATGGCTGCTATCCAGCTGCAGCTGACCGCCCAGTCCCAGGTGCACGTCAGCAAGAGGCCCCGCTCCATCAGTGAATACGAGGACTATGGCAGTCTAAGACGGAGACCCCGACGGGAATGATGAGCTGTAACCATAGAGATGGGAGAACAATAGGGAACAGAAAGTGAGCTAGAAAAATGATTTTTAAAACAGCAAAACAAACAAACGGGTTTGTATTGATACTGAAATGTTGCTTTTGTGACCAGAACTGAACAAAATGAGTCATGTTAGTTTTGATAAGCTCCCCTGAGGTACCCGGTATGGCTTGCACAGTGTAAAGCACACCGTGTAGTTTATATTGTCCAGTGCTCATTTTTAATAAACGAGACAAATCTGGGTGTTAAAAAATGACTCATTTTGTCTGGATCTGATCGCATTTGATCCAGCCATTGAGATGTACAGGTGTAGCCATTGAGATGTACAGGTGTTAATCCCTTATGCTTTGTGTATGACTTAACACACCAGATAAGAGTGTGTTTATTTTATAGCCCTGTTATTGCCATCTTATGTGTAAAAAGTATGTTTACCAAAGATATGTTGTATTTGGTAGTTGGAAGTGACCGAAATGTTGAGTCATTGAGAGAAAATGACAGGCAGGGGTTTATCTAGTATTTTTCTGACTATTGTTTTCAAATCCTACCATTTTATTGTGTACCATAGTTGTTGCCTCTGCAAACGCTATGTGCTCTTGCATGGCAAAATTAGGTTTTAGCTGAGACTGAATTAATCGTATGACAAACCTTCCCTTTTTTTCTCACTAGAGAAATAAACTAGAAAGAGTTTCCAAGTTGTTTGTGTAAAAGGATAAAGCTCAAGGCATGTGTCGTTCGTTGGTGAGAATGAAGGTGTCATTCTTACCCACAAATGGTGCATACCAAGGGTATTACGCGCCATGACCTCTACTTGTGACCTCAGTTTATTGTTTCCACCACTCCATTATTTTGAACAAATAGAGTGACGTCCTTAAATAGAAAGACAAGATTTATTGTAAGATCAAAATGCTGCAGTCATTTGTAACCCTTGTACAGCAAAGCAGCATTTATTCACTAGGGGGATGTTGTGCCAGCGTGGTGTGCAGTCAGAGTGACAAAGACAGTGACAGTGACATGTTTACCTTGAGCAGAAGCACCCCTCGTCAGTTGAAAAGAGCCCCATTGGTGGGGAGTGTTCATTTTGTGGGTAGTGACATGACCATAATGCGTTCATTTCATAGTCATTTGTGAATCAGCGAAGTGCAGTTCTCAACAAATGAGCTTCCATTGCTAGGAAATGGTGGCTTCTCTTAGTCCTAAGTGAGGGAGATTGTTAACCCACAATATATTTGGTAAAAAAAACCAAAACAGTGACAGTACTGATGATTCAGTGGCTGATGTGTTGGCATTGGAACACGCATCCTAAGCAAGATTAGAAAATTGTACTTGCCAGCCCATAGTTTTTGATATTATGTGATGAGCTCTATGCTGACAACAGCACTTGCTCTCCAAGAAAAAGTCATCAAATCTGATTGTTTTGAGAGCTCTGGGTGGAGATTAGGAGACAGTAAGAATGAGTATGAGAAGGTTAACTGTAGCAATGACTTTATTTCCTGGAAATAACTATTGTTTTTCATGAGGGTTCCTTCACTAAAGTACTGTTATTCCTTCAATTTCACTCGGCCAAATTAAATTTAAAATTCTTCAGGAAAAAAATGAGCAATTGAAAATAGTCAGAGTTGGCCACTGCACAGTTGGCAAACCGATTACATTTTTCATAGCTAGGACACATACATTGTGGCATTAATGAAAAAAAAATTTGGAATGCCTAATTGCTGGAATCATTATTCTCAAATTGTTTGTCGGATTCTGCAAGGGGTTTGATACAAGCAATGCTTCTTGTCATGATTATTAACTGTTTAAAATTTGCATTGAATGCTCGAGCCAAGAAAAGCTGTATCCAAAAAAAAAAGAGTAAAAATTGCTAGTCATTGTATGTTAAGTTTTCCAGTTCTTCTGTTCAAGGACTGCTATTTTGCCATTGTTCAAGTTTTGGTTCTATTGTCAAATACAGTGTATTGAAGAAGAGATGTCTTCATTGCTCCATTTGGGCCAAATAATGGGAGGGGGCAAAAAATAATGTGATGTCACAGGTGGAGGTTAACTAGTGATATTGAGTCCAAAACATTCCAGTTGAAAATGGCTCTTTGGTGAAGAAAAACGTGTTACTAATTGTTGATTTTTTCACCATTTACCAAAAATGTTCCAATATGGATACATGTATATTTTGTAAATTGAATATTTAAACCGAATTTGTGGGAAAGATTTTTTTTTAAAGATAGAACATGAAATGTGTCACTCATCTCTACAAGGTTTATGGTCATCAAGTTGGTTGGAAAACCAAGTCCGGTAAAATGTCAAATTATTTATATATTTTTCCCTTTTAAATTCTCCCACCGTTTGTTATGTCTTAGTCACAGATTGTCAGCACAAAAGTTTACTCTAAAAGTGCACGGAATACGTCAAATGTGAAGTTTAAAAGAAGTTTAATGCCAAAACAATATTAGTTTCAAAGAATGTTCAGACTTTTGGGCAAAACCTATTGAACTTAAAAAATCTCAAAGCAGGTCATAATGATAGACTCTCTGAAAAAGTTTGACTTGTGACTTGCTTTCCCAAATAGATGATACATGTACTAAGAATAATATTCAATCAAAGAGATTGCGCCACAAGCCGTCATGATATTTTGAGTTAAATCATTGAACTGATGAAGTTGTTCTTGTCTGGGGAGCCATGTACATGTAGAAATGAAGCAGCTGATATATTAGGACATTACTTCCCGCTCCTACATGTAAATGTACTTTGTAAGTGATGTTTCCTCTACAAGATTTTGCCAGCTTGAGCACAGGAGACCCAGAAGTCATGCCAAAACTGACACAATTTTTGTGGAATTTGAACTAAAACTGAGAATTGTTGCTCAGTTATTTGACACAAATGTATTTAATCATTTTGTAGCGCGTGCAGCTTACATGTGTGTTGATAAAATGTTTAAGGCAGTTCACTTTTTTAAACAAAATTAACTGTTTCTGAGATGTACTTCATTTTTCTTTGCTATAATTGATTACTCTCAGTCTTATTTTTACACCAGCTTTTCTTACAATAAATCTTCTGGGAGTTAAATTTGAATAAAAGCTGGTACACTGACTTCTTTAAATTCACATGAACATAATCTGAATTACTATATCATGATTCAGGGAAAGCTTTTGCTTAGTCACATAAGAGACGCCTTGCACCAATACAATTTGCAATAATACACATATAAGAAGGGCACAAAGTAACCAGTCCATTCCAGAGATGGTGGTCGCTATGCAAAAGCTTGCCCAAATCACGAGGTATTGCAACAGTTTTTTTAGCCTGGGGAATTCAAATGGTCATGTTTTTGTGCAATCAGATAAGTCAGTATACCAGATTTTACTCAAATTTAACTCGCAAAAGGCTTATTGTTTTCAGGGTTTTCCCTCAGTGTACGTGTATGTTAAAGCTATGATCATTAGATTAGGTACATGTACCGGGTACCTACTACGAAGCCATCTGATATTGTAGTTCCGCTATTAAGTAATCCCATATAGTTCTGGGCCACCATCTGTCAATTTGTTTGTTGACTTTCCTTAATAGTGACCCATTCATATTCGTCTATGCCAAGTGTGGAAAGAATATTGCATCGGCAGCAGTTTTCACTGACAGTCCTAAAAGTGATATATTTTATCCACGTGGTGACGTCACTGCGTACTCGTACAGTCTTTATCAGGATGTGCTTGAAATACACTTTAAAAAAATGAAGTTCAAACCAGAGAGAAAGAGAGTTTCCAACTTCAGACTGTGTTGAAGTACATGTACTCTGCTGGAAAATGTTGGCCTTGGAAAGGACTACAGACAAATACAATAAGTACTGGCTGTGATACTGAAATGTCACAAAAAGTACTCACGAATTTTGGAGTGACTTGATTGGCAGACATGTACATGTACTTATATGCTCTTTATGGCTCATCCAACAATATTTACCTGAAAAGAAAATGCCAAAAATATAATCTTCGACTAATGTTACAAAAATAAATTGAAAAAAATTGAAACGTAGACATTTTGCTATATTTCCATGTAAGTTAAATTTCTATGAAATCCTGAGCGTGGTTTTGTGTAAAAGCAGCTTCTTAAATTGTGGGAGAAAACCAGGCACAGAGCAGCTTATGATTAGAAGTTACCATTTTGGCTATTCACAAACAAATAGCTGATTCTGACCAAAATGTCATAGACCTTTACTGAAATCTTTATAGCTATTCGGAGCGAATTACTTGTATGACCGAAATAAAAAAATTCAACCTTTTGCGCATTCAATGGAAAGTATGGGTCCTGCTATTTTTAGCATTTTTGTCCCGGTGAACATGCATGCATGTGCCCCATGGCTAGATGCTGTGTCAAACCCAGCAAAGTATGGAAATTGTGCTCCCAGTGTTTTTAACAATAACAAGACAAGTTTTCCCCGTAAGTGAAAAATTATTTGCAATTTTCTTGCTCATAGTCTCAAGTGGTAGCTTATTTTTCTTTCGTGGGATTGAGGAAACTGCAAGTATTTTTTATTTCTTGTTAAGGCCCAGTTTCACTACAATCTTCATACAAGAGTTTGTACTGAAAGTTTAATGTCCTGTTATTTTTATTGTAAAGTTTAGAATTCAAGAGCCTTGTGGGAGATGACACTGCTTTGTGTCTTGGCCAGATGTGTGGTCATCGCAGAACAAGCGAGAGTTCTGTCATTTCAAAACCTTGCACAGGGGCCTTGAACTAGTGTGTATTTAGTGCAGAGTCTCATCGGCAAAGTGCACACATACATGTACTGTATGTTGATGGTGCTCTGCATTATATTGTACATGTGTACTGTAGGTATACATGTAGGCATGCATGTTGTACAAGTACATGTAGCTGTTTACGTGGACGGATTAGCTTTTGTAGACTTAGTTTAATTGCCTTAGCAGCCAACTTGTGCAAAGGGTTGCTCAGTTGTTGAAGAGAGTATTAAGTTTTTCCACATTGTTTGGGTTGTGCAATTTTGTTTCTTTGATCTCTACAGAGGTTGGGTTTTCCAGCCTCCATGATTTTGGGCCGCAAGCCTCATCCGTGGAAGAAACCATTATTATGTCAGTTCTTTATCAGTGGGGAAAAATACAATAATGGAACTTCAATAAGGATTGGCGTATGTCACATGGGTGCTTAGGGTATGAGGTATATGTTGTTCTTTTCATGTAGTTCGCATGCTTTTAAGGAATTCTGTGACATTAGCATTGGAGATTCCTCTTTCTTCTTGTGTCATCTGGCCATTTTGAGAGAGCAGTGAAGTCATTTTGTGTCCTTCGCTGCCCTTGCTCTTTTGATGTTCCACAGCGGAGCCAAGGCCTATGGGGTAATTGTACTAGTTGTCCCCAAACCTGTTCACAAATTTTAAGATACTGAATCTCCAGTGCATACACTTAAAATGAAACAGGCAGTTCTGTTGCAATTGAGTGTGTTGTCACAGCAGTCAGGCGAAGAACCCCTTGCTCAAATCATAAGAATAGTGAGTAACTTCAATGAATTTTTATCTCGAGTTTGTCTTTACCGTAAAATGCTCAGTCCTTGCTGTCAATTGCATAATATCATAGACAATATATTCATTTATTGTTTCCTAATTGTAATCTAGCTAATTGCCAAATCTTGTGATTGTTAGCAGTTTGTAGACACAGCTTGACCATGGACTTCAGTCTAATGTGTTGTTTCTCCATTTGTTCACTAAAGATGATAAAACATGAACACCAGTTTTGCTCAAATTTTCCTCTTACCAAACGTTGACATTTGCTCTTTTTTTAGCCTTAATTGAAACTTTTATGTGACTGTTACCAAGGAAAAGGTAATGTTTTCATTCTTTACAAATTTGAAGATTATTCTTTTGTAATATTGTATTTTTATATTTTATTTTCAGTTTAAAAAAAACATTTTTGTTCAGGCTTTGTTCATTGCCCCCCTCAATTCTGATGTGGATAAGCAGATGATTTTTACATTTGTGTAATTTAAAATGATTCAAAAAGCTCATTTCCAGCTTTAATTCATTAATTTTAAAATATCTAATTTGCTCAAACACTTCAGAGTTTATGAAACAGAAATCATGGTATATGGAATGATGCTCCTTGTGTGTAATTTCAATTCTCATAACCTCTTCAGTTTCAATACAGATACATGTACATGTATGGCTGTATCTGACCGAAATCTTCTAATGTTTCAAATTTTAGTCAAAATTTAGAAATTCTGTTCTTGAACTTTTTGAAATGCACTTGTATAGAACTGCAGTGGGGCTTATTTGTGTAATTATTGGGTTTACAAAATGTTTTGTAGTTTCATATATGGGGTCTTGATGTAATCCTTTATATGAACATATTGCCTATTCTCTGTCATGGTCAAAGACAACAGAACACTTGATGAGAAGAAGGAAATCATAACTGATGGCAGAAAAACGAGAAGATGCCAAACAGTGTCCAAGAGATCTTGTTGGAATATTTCTCAAAATACATTTGAGGCCATTGGTGAATGTCTTGACCCATACATGCGTGTACCTGTGTTGGATCCCAACTTTTCCAACTCTGGTCCAAGTCATGATGCCAGCTTTGCCCAACAGCATGTTTCAAAGATCAACAGAAGTTCAGTTGTGAGATCCAACAACAGTATTTTACTGAATGTTTTAATTCATGTACATGAACATGCAGTAGATTAGCTCATCCTCATTTCTGTGTTTGACAACGTGAGAAGAAACTGCTGGATCTTGGCTTGAGCATGACTAAGGTTTAGGTACACACTAGTAGAAATGAGTTTTTCAGAAATTTGTTTAGGAATTCTGTGTTTTGGAAGTTAAGGAACAAATCACGTTCAAACATGACACAGGACTAATTGTGACCCGTTGTGGTGCTGGTAATTTTTTTTTTGAAAACAGCAAAAGCATGTTTTAGGAAACATGAAGGTTTTAACTTTTAAAACGATTCTAGCAGAATTCAGGCAGGAAAGCAATGGCATTTTCAAAGTATTCCTGGGAAAAGTGAAGAAAAATCCTAAATGATGTCAATAAAAAGAAGGAGGAGCTAGAAAGATATTGTTGGAAAACTAGAGGTTGAAGGAATAGTTCATGGAGAGTGAATGAAGTGTGTGTGTGGTACTTTGTAAAGAACAAGGCAAATAATTCTTAATAAAACACAATTGTGTATTTAGTGAAAGGTTAAAGAGGGCTTCCTATGTCAGCAGCCAGATTTCGTTGAACATTACGTTGTGCAAGACTTTGTTACATTTCATGCAGGATATCTTACATTGTTTACCAGATTTGTTGGTTTGCACACCTACAGGTGCATTGCAGTGTGAAATTTAGACCATGTAAAGTATGGACTCATTGGCCGTGCTCTCTGTAAACCTCAGCGGACAAATTAGAACCAAGGCAAATGGCGTGAGGGACGGGGGTTGTATGAGGTAAAAGGCTAGATTTGAGGAGTCCAAATTTCATGTAACAACATTTCACGAAATTGGCTGCAGAAGTGAGATTGAAAAATCACAATAATAGTGTTCAAATTGTGCCTGTTGCTGAGGATTGAGAGATGTTTTAAAAAAAAAGGTTGTATATCGGTAAATATATTCACAGACTGTTTTATTTTAGATACGTGAATTTTTTATGAGAATGGTGGCGATTGAAGGATGATTTTGTAAGCAACGTTTTTGTCTTGAAATATGTATTATAAATTCAATAGAAAAACAATTCCTTTGAGTGTAAAAGAATTAGACTGACTTGTGTACAGGTTGGCATTGTTGGGTGTATTCGTGTTGTGCATTGGTTAGTTGATATTTTGTGTGTGCCATTTTTCTAAGGTAAAATGTAGGTCAGCTGTTTCTGTCCATATGCAGTTGTGGTGTTTTTCACCAGAATGTGTGGTCAGGCTCCACACCTTAGGTTTTTCAATACAGCCTGTGTGCGGTTCGAGTTGGATTGATGCAACATTCTGTAGGTTACAGAAATGTGTGTAGTTTTAAGCAGCAGTTACATAATTTATATTCAGTGATATTTCATTTCATTTAAACCAAACTGGATAAAAGCCTCAAGCATTGGTGTTGATTTAATCTTTTTTCCACACCTCAAAATGAAACCCAAGCTCCCATTTTATGTCTGAATTTTAAGCCAGGGCTTCTGAATCTTAACAACTCAGCTAAAAGTTTTTCATTTGTCGTTCAGCCATTAGCCTGGTTTTGGGGGTTTTTTAAAATGAAACAAAGGTGTACAATGTATAGATAATCCATGTAGGCTTTATTTATGAAACATTGGAGTGTACAGGTTTTTTTCTGAATGGCAAATCTTAGAGTGCTCACTGACAAATTTGTACATTGTAACTCTTTCCCACTGCAAAGTTGGTGGTTTTCCCAGATGTCCTTAACCAGCAATGACCTGGCATTCAAGGTTTTACTGGAGTGTTTTAGATTTCTTACCTGTGTATTGGGGGGGTGGAAGTTTATTTTCCACCTACTGGTTGACTCCTTGAAAACCAGAAAATCTTTAGGTCTACTTTGTGTTACCCAAGCTTTGGCAGCACTTTTTTATCCCAAGTAATCATGTTGGAGTTTTGACCAGTGTTAAAAAATTTAGTCTTTGGTTCGACTTTGAAGGTAGGCAGCTTGCATCTACTACATGTACATGATGTCATTGTTGGCGATCCTAACGTACTTGTGATACACGCAGCTATGAGTACCTTACATGCTGACACTGAGCAACTTGTTTACTCAGAATTTTTTTCACGGCATATTTTCTGCTTTGCGAAAGTGTGAATTTGACTCCCTAATGGATTGTGCCAAAATAAAAAAAGTTTAAAGTTGAAAAAACCATATCCAAACTCAAGTCTCATAAAAGCCAGTCGAGGAAATACAACAGCAAATAACCAGAACACCCCCAAGAAAAAGGACACTCCGTAAAATCTGCATTGTGTAAAAACAGATCGGTTACATGAAATAAGAACAGAATGTTACAGACTGTGTAGTGGGAAAGAGTGTGGACATGTACCGGTACATATACACGGATAGTGTGTGCAAATTATGTACATGTACTTTACCAGCATGTTTGCGTTATCTGTTCAGAAGTAATACGTGTATATTGTGCAATTCATGTTTTGGTCCATGTGTACGTGTATGGCCACACAAATACAGAACTGGGATTTTTATCGGCTGAGCAAGGCAACAGAAAGAATCTTTTATTTCTGCACTTGCACAAGCTAATGAAATGAAATGTACATGTTCCAGTTGTTTCTATTGTTGCCCTTGTCATGCAGAAGGGGAAATGCAGAAACAAGGATGCGATGATGGAGTTCAAAAGGATCTTTTACTTTGCTGTATTTATTGAAGATTGATTACATTTAGAATTAACTGTCCTTTTTATGTACCTGTACCGGCGCCTTAAAAGTGTGATCCCCCAACAATCCAGGGTAATTGATGGCCCTGATGATAAACCCTTATTTGTTTGTGTGTTTGTTTGTATTTCTGATGTTTTGTTTTTTTGTTGTGTATTTATGTATTGAAAGCTCTGTGCCTAGAACTTCTCTGCAGCTGCCACTGAGTACAGATACATGTATAAGGGAAAAAAACAAGTTTTTTAGAAAAGCTTCGGTACGTGTATGTTTCAGATTTTGTGTATTTGTTGGATTCGTTTGTGTCACCCTGCTCAAAGCATGTTACTTCCTGGGATTTTCCTTTTCTTTTTGGTTTTGAATTGTGTCTTGTCTTTTGTTTCATTTGCACAAGTTAGGTATTTGTTGTGGCTGTCTCTTCTCAGTGGAGATAGCCAAGACAAATACGTACAAGGTATTGAAGTTTTTTTGGGAGGGGGAAAGGTTGTTGTTTTTCATTTCACATGATTTCACCATGAGAAACCCCAAAGTGTCTACTTGTACACTGGAAATTTGTGTACCGTCTGTGTTCACATAGCTTCACATTGATTTAGTTGGTCAGGGTTGATTTGAGCGGTAGGTCCAGTTTGGAGTCACTCACTTTCTGCTCATTTGTAGCAGTGTGCATAACCAAGTTGTCTGAGGCGTTGCCTGAGGAGAAAAAAGTACCAGGGCCTATTTAGTCAGTGAATGGCATCTTCTAGTCACCATAAATATTAGATATACATGTACATGTATGACTACCTACATCATCAAGAATGGTTAAAGATTGCAATCACACCTTTTGGGCTCATATTTTGTTATTTCTCCAGTTGGTTGCTGAGTATCTCAACCCCAAGAGCTTAATCCAAATGTTAATGTAATCAGCTAAAAGAAAGAAGAGGCCCCTTTTTATTGCAGGCAAGGGGTAGGTTGGGGTTGAAGTAGTGTATGAAGATTCCAAACCAGCTTGTTGTGTATCATGTGGACTTCAAACGAAATTTTCACTTCATCAAAGATATTATCTTATGCTGCCCTTTTAGTATCCTCAAAAGTTCGGCAAATTTAAAATGTCAGCAGAATAGAAATGTACGCTTTGTTTGGCCTTGGGACATGTTTATCATGTAAACTGCAGTACTTTCAGTACCTTTAAGTAGCTTTCTGTAAATGGCTTCCTCTTTTCTCGTCTCTTGAATGACCTTAAAATGTGTAGAAATTTTTAAGCCACAAAATCTGCTCTCTAGTGAGCCTTTTGGTAAATTGGTGATAGATAAATGGACGTTGCAGTTTGAATCCAAACTCTTACAAAATAAATTGCTGTTAACAATTGCAAGCACACGTACCAATACAAATGAGTAATAATCCGAAGAAAAAATTCAATTTAGGAATATGAAAGAGATGACAAAGCAACCTTCTAGAGAGATATTGCCACTTAAATAACAAAACTAACTGCCTTTAAAATGATTTATCCATTTATTGAGAATTTATACCCATTCCATTTCCGTAGTATTGTATTTAGGAAAAAAGGTACATGTAATACTGATTCTGATGCCCCTTGTTTTGTTTCAAAGTTTCCATTGTTACTGTAAAGTGTTATCCAGGTGTGAAAGCATTTGCTTGTAGCTGTCCGTGCAATTCAAAGAAAACACAAAAACTAAATGTGTAATTTACATTGTGTATTGTGCGACAGAGCTTTGAGGAATAAACAGTATCTACAATTCCAAAAACGACTGTTTTTCCACCTGTTATGGCTTATTTCTTTTGTTCAGTAGAGTCCTGTCCAAAACAGCTGATTCACTGTCCTGTGATTCAGTGCCAACAATTGAGGATTCCAATGTGCTTGGATTTTTCATGAACCTGCCAGTGTGTCAGGAGGTAACATTGTTGTCTGACACTTTGGGATCATGCAGCACCATTTTCATGTACGTATATCGGTGTTGGAAATGTATCACTCTGGATCTTTTTTTTTCCAAAGATGTTTTTTGGAGGGGAGCTAAGGGGTCAATATGTCCACATTTATCCATCCAAATGACTGGCCAAGAGCAGTGATCTGGTCACAGTTAAGTGGCAGTGTTACCCTGAACAGACGTTTTCAAGAAGAGACATGGAGAACTAAAGCGTGATGTCATCTTGATCAGGAATTGTATTGCAAATGAACAGAGTAAGCATGTGAGTTGGTTCACATGCAGTTAGTCTTTTACACAAAGCTGTATGTGTGGCAGATTCACTTCGGTACTCTATACTTTAGAGGATTTGAAATTTTCGATTCTCTTTAAATACCCCTGATATCCTCAGCACAGAATTCATAACATTCCTTAATACATGAATTTGAATCTTTGCAATAATTATACCAGTTGGGTTTGGAGATTTTAAAGTTAACCTTCAAACAGTGTGATTGTTAGCTTGGACTCAATTTGATCTTGAAAGACAAGTAAAAACTACATGTACTTGACACTTTTGTGTCGTTTAAGGTTTTCAAAATTTATTCGTCACCATCTGGATCAAGTCAAACGTATAAACTGAGCAATTTTATTTTTAAACCAACTGGCAATTGTTTAATTCAGTGACAGATCCAAACACCACAAATTTACACTACAAACAATTTGTGCATAGTTATTTGTCAAATCCTTTGCACTTTACACCAATGATTTACTAGTACTGCAATAAATATCCATGTAAAAAGCATTTAAAGTGCGTACATGTAATGTATTTTCAAAGGTACTTGAATGGAAGGGCAATAGCTTGATTGTAGCATACACATGCGCGTGACCAGATAATGTCCGTTATTTGTAGTTACCAGATTGGAGTTTTGGATTTGATCCACTGTAAACTTTAAACCCTCTTTTCCACAAGCCGTAGAGCTAAGAGAGGAACTCTATGCACACACACACGACCATAAATTAACATAAATTGGCCTGTATTTTGCATTACATGTACAAAGTATACTATTATCTAAGGCAGTATTTGGAGGCGGGTTCTGCAAAAGCCGACTTCCATTTTGATGTCACTTAAATCCTATTGCATCAATTACATGTGAGTTTTCATCATGTACATGTACGTCTGTTGTTTATGCTAATTAAAAACAGCTAAACAGATTTGTGACAGCAGTTAAAGAAACAAATTACAAGCTTGTATGCTACTCCTGAGTGTGTTGTAGCTGTTGAAAATAAACTATGGACAGCATGTCAGAATCTAGTGCCTTGTGACATACATATATGTACTGCTTTGCACCCATACAGTATTGAGTATGCCAGCTAATTCTTCATCTTAATGTACATGTACATGTATACAACCTACGATATTTAACCATGTGTGTGCATAAAACTAGAATTTTCCACTAAATGTGTACAAATCAGTAGAATTTTCATCTGAATGCACATAGACCTACAGAATTTTCATCTGAATGCGTGCAAACCTGGACAATTTTTATCTGAATTTGTAAAAACCAGAAGAATTTTTATTTGAATGTGTACAAACCTGTCAAATTTTCATGTATATAGTACCAATCTGTAGCATGGGAACCAGTTGTACAGTGGTAATGGAATTTTAAACTATTTTCTCATGGTTCAGAAATTGTGGATTAACCACCAATTTTTGGAGTTGGAAATACAAGAAATTGAACTAAGCACTTTACAAACATAGTTGTACATGGATACAATGGGTGATTTGCTCTGTAGTGTCAACTGTTAAGTTTGATCGATTAAAATGCCAAAGTGACCAAATGCACAGCTTTATCATATACTCATACCTTATTTGTAGGATTATTTTAAATGATGACTTATTTGTAAAACTAAAGTTTGCATATAGCTTCTGTTGACTTGTTTTCCTTGAATCTGAGTATATTCCCTTGGTTATTACACCTTGGAGTGTTGTACTATTTCATGACTAAGAATAGAATTCTAAATTTCAGTCACTTAGTATATGTACATGTACATGATGACCAGTTTCTTGTATACACATGAAAAAAAATTCCCTAATAATTCCCCAACTCGCAATATGGTCACAGTTTTGTGCACACCATTGAAAGTTTGATGAGACCATCGCAGTACTGTGCCGTGCCACACCCCAGCCACACAGTGGCATCAAGTCTCAAACACTAGGCCTGGAAAGTGTCTGCAAACTCCAATCTTCTGCTCTTTCCCGCAAGACCTTCAATCATTCTATTGTGATGGTTTATGTTACCATGTCACCAGCTGTTGTGATGAGAGCAGCATGAAAAAGACATGAACGTAGAAAATCTACTCCTCCGGCCATTGGTACTTCAGTTCATGTTTGAGCTCAGTCATCATCGTCAGAATCAACACCCCCTAGTGCCTCTGACTTCTTCATGAAGTTGTCCTTAAAGGGCATTCTGAAATCGGGGAAGTCGATACCGTCCCCAAATCGCATCCGCCGCTGCTCCTTCTTGACGATGAGCTCTCTGGTGTTTGGCACGTTGCTCCAGGCAACAAACGGAATGTAAGTGATGTCCTCGTGGTGCTCGATGCCCCCGGCCATGGCTGATGCTGCCCGTAGCACCGATCCTTTCCTCTCTCTCGGGGTGATGGTAGGCGAGTCCTGCGTCTGCAGGAAGTGATTGCAACAAAATGTAAGTGAAGAAGGTACTTTTCTCACGTTTCTTTGAGCAAACGAATATGTTTATTTCAACAGCAGTGGAAGTTAGTTTGGAGGTTGTTTTATCACAAATTGGAAATCCCTTAACGTTTAGCAACTCACAAATTACCAATGTCATCTGTAACCTTTACTGACAGCAAAGCAATCCCACTTTACGTTAAAAAAATTCTGACCTCTGTTAAAAAGAGTAACGTGTGGAAGTTGCATAATGCACTGAGGCATTCATGGGTATACTCAGATTTATCTGATCAGTTGAGAGAGAGCCAAAGCCCCCTAGTAGTTAAAAAATAGTAAAAGTACATATTTAGGGCTTGTGTTGTTACTAATCACACTCTCTTAGCAAAATTACAACTCTTGTGGATTTTTTTCCTCAAAGATATCAGGCTTCAATAATTATGATCTTTTTGAAAGGAGAGTCTAACTTTTTTGTAAAACATTTTGGAACGTCTGTTTCTCCTTCAATGAAAAAACTTCTGTAACAGACTGGTGGAAATTTTGCAGCCTAAAGGCTGGTTCGTCCTCTGCAAAAAAGCAAACACTGACACAAATCTGTGATGTCGGATCAACTATTTGCACTGGGAATTTGCAAAAGTTGAACACATTTCAACTCAGGTGAAAGTTTGCTGCAAGTCTTTTGTGATGTTAAATTTGCTCAGCTGTCACATTTGCCTGAAGTGTGAACTAGCCTTTACATCTGCAGTGTCTTGTCGTTCATAAGTGACACCTACCGTCTGTGTTGTCATACCGCCCTGGGGTATGGGTGGCACAGAGCTGGCCCTGACTGGAGCCTTCTTCTGGCCACTCTTCCCTCGTCCCTTCTTGCCTTTGCCCTTCTTGCCTTCCTTAGGCTGGGGGAGGCTCTCAAACTTGGCCTGGACAATCTCTAGTACCCTAGGGTCAGCCCACCACTTCGCAACGTCCAAAGCGTTGTCCCCTAGAGCAGAAAACAATGTGAAAATCATCACCGTGTAGTGTGTTTCTTTTTCTGTTCCAAAAGCAAATAAAAATTGGCTGTAGAAAGGAAAAGGGTTAAACAATACAGAGTCATCTGATTACTGGTGATGTTTTGCATTAAGTTTATCTATCTTATTTAATTAGATATATTTTCATGAAAGTAGGATTTAGGTTTTCTACCTAGAAACACATAGTGTCACATTGTCATATTTTATCTGACGACCTGATGTATGATGGGCTGTGCTTTATGTACATTTGTATTCTTCTCCAAGCTATAGTATTTTAAGCTCTTCTAACATGCCTTCATGTTGTACTTGCCCCTTTAAACCTATTCTACTACTACGTTGAAGTGACATTTATCACAAAGCATCGGAAAGAATAAGCTATAAAATTACCCACAGAAGTAGGACCAAATCTCAGTCCTTTAACTAAGTCAAGCCTCTACAAAGGGACAGGAGGCTGGGACAACAAAACCCCAAATGTTCCACTCACACCTGCACTCATACCCACTGTCATATCCAACGACACTGGTGAGGGCCAATTTCTCAAAACCCTCACAGGCTGGATATTGGTGATCCACTGGCTTTAGGGACAAACACATCCATGTGAACATGATGCACCTGCATGGAGTGGACTTGCACGATTAAATGCACTAAGCTACCAACAATGCTGCCTGTTTCCTTGCAAATGTTTTTAGAAGGGCAGAAACAGAACAGTGGGAAGTTTTGAACACAACGAATCTTACAGGAGACATCCAATGCATCTACACAAAGGCTCACCTTTCCTGTTCTCCAGCATGACGTCACACCCTTTCTCGATGAGATACTTCACGATATCCGGGGCCGAGGTCTGTATGGCCCTCATTAGTGGCGTCCCCCCGTTCATGGCCTGGGCGTTGATGTTGGCCTGGTGCGCCACCAAGAGTTCCACCACATCCAGCTGACCTGACAGGCAGGCATGGTGAAGCGGTGTCCACAGGAAGTTGTCTTGGCAGTTGACATCAGCTCTACTTTGATTGATAACCATAAATAGAATACTATTAACATATAAATCCAAAGCTGCTGCCCATTAGAAGCTTTCCACATTACTGTGCACCATTGTGTCCTTTGAAGAGACCACTATTCAACCTCCAGATTGACATCCAGCATGTATATTATAATCCTGTTTTCTTTTCCTTTATTTTGGCTTTTGTCCTTTAATAATACATACAGAACTGTGTACTCAGTGTTGTTTCAAGGCTTGCAAAAATTTCGTAAGCTTACTTGAATGTATGTAAGCCTTTTCTTATCTGTTCTTTTTTGTTGTGCAATTTTACGTATTTCGTCTAAAAGACAAACTAACCATTACACTCTCAAATTCCAATTTAAACTGCTAGGTTTCCCAAAATGCTCAGTCTACAAAATGCTTCTTTAAAACTGCTAGGTATATGGATGTTGACTTTTCCCAATGAAATGCTAAATTAAGGCCCAGTGTTAGTGAACAGCAAGTATATGTAAATCATCAAGTGCTTCAGTTTTATACTTTAAGTTTGGAAGGCCAATATACCATTATTTATTCAAAAAATTTCACAAAATGTAATTGAATGTTTGTGTGGCAGGAAATGTTTGCCTTTCCGCCTTGCCTTAAAAAAACGAAAATAATAATTGAATTTCCAAAAGGTCAGGGATAGAAACTGGCAACAGCAGATGAGGGTTGGATGGTAAGGGCAACCAGTTCTTGTGTGAAAACCTACGTCAGTCCTTGAGAAACACAGAGAAATTCCAACTAACCCATTCTCCAAAAGGAATCTGGCCACCTCCAAGTTGCCTTGTGCACAAGCCACCATGAGTGCCGTCTTGTAGTATTTGTCCTGCGTATTGACCGATCGCCCGTGCGAGTACGCCCGACGCAGGGAGTCCAGGTCTGTCATCTTGGCAGCATCGGTGACGTTAATGTATGTCTTCTCTGGGAAGTGCAAGTACCATGCCGAGTCGTCCTGGATAGGGTGGTCGGGCGGATGGTCCCGGTCAAAGCGCCCAGTGTCTGTGAATGGCACGTGTCTGTGTATAAGATGTTCGGGCGGTTCGCCGTTTTCAGTTCTGGCACCCTCCGCACCAATGCAGATTGGCATGGGGACCTTCGTCTTGCCTTTCTTCTTTTTTCCCTTCTTCCCCTTTTTCTTCTTCTCCTTCTTCTCGAAGGCTGACATGAGATAGGTCTTGTGCACGTATTTCTTCCCGGCCAGGAACTCGTGGTAGTTGATGACGCCTTCCTTGGTTTTGTCATGGAGCAGAAACAGGGCCTTGAAGCTGTCCTCATTAATGGGTGCCTCCAGGGTCACCAAGATGTCGTAGAAGTCCTCCTTGGACAGCACCTCGTTGCCGTCGGGGTCCATCTGCTGGAAGTGTTCCATGAGACGAGTCTGATTCTCGTGGGTCCAATCATAAAGCCTGACCGCCCAGGCCTCAGTTGGGGCTTTTCCACCTCCTTGGAGCTTCTTGGAGAGACGCTCTGCTTTCCGGCACTCCTTCATGACATCTTTAAATCCGTTGTTCTTGGCAATCACTTTTGGGAGAAGGCCATCATCATTCTTAGTATTTGCTTTGCACCCTAAAATAAATGCAACAAATTCAAATTCATGATGTTTGAATGCACCTTTTTCGGCCGGGTTTTAATTTTACTAGGCTACCACTGTAATTCTTCAAATAGTGTTAGTGGACAAAATTCTTTAACAGGTAAAAATTCTACCCACATTAATGACACTCTTCAATCTCTAGAGAAAAATCTTAAAAAAGTCTTTAAATGCACCACATTTCCCTATGTTCTGATCTCAGCAGTTTGAGTACAACTTAAAAGTTCTAGCATCTGTCAAGGTAGTCGGGGGAGGGGGGGAGAGTAGGGTGGGACAAGGCACACCCTGCAGAGAGGAACCTGAACAATGGCCCTTCTGTTTCATCCTCGATGAGAAACTAACCTCTTTGAGACAAGTATTTCAAGCAGTTTGCAAAGCCACCCTCGGCTGTGTAGTGGATCATGGTGTTCCCAATGGTGTCCACCAGGCTCAGGTTGGCACCATAGCTACACAGCAAGTGCAGCACATCAAAGTGACCATTCTTGGCTGCCATATGGGCCGCTGTTCTTTTGTTCTTGTCCATGGCGTTGACTTCCCCACCTTTGGCAAGGATTGCTCGACAGACCAGAACGCTCCCACTGCGTGCTGCCTCTATCAAGGGTGTCTTGCTTGTTGACTGATTACAGGAAATGCAGGAGGAAACAATGATAAACAAAACATAAGTCTGAATTTCTATATTTGGTTAGCCTTTTAAAATTTTTTAAAGGATTACATGCTTACTTATTTCTGGGAACTTTTGGGAAGTCATAAGCTTGTTTGGGTGGAACTCAAACCCACAACCTTCTGCTTGTCACTGGAGATGTCTTAACCACTGAGATTTCTATGCTACATAAGAATACAGGTGAACACTTAAGAACACAGATGAAGTTCTGTTATTAGTCTGCAGAAGTAGGTAAGGTTGGGGCATCTCCTATTTGAGCATCAAGTACAGAAGAGCCGAACGGGCCATTTGATTTCAACCCTTAACAGACTTTTTCACGAGCCTTCTGTATGAGACCAGCAGCTCCATGAGCTCAAGCGTCCACACACGCTTCACCCTGCAGATCTCAGAAGGGAAACCTACCGGTTGGGCACTGTTGGGATCAGCAGCATTCTCCAGGAACTGGAGGCAGATTTTCTCATTCTCAACTGACTCCATACAAGCTAGCACCAACAGTGGCATGCCGTCATTGGCTACGTTGTTGCATTCAGCACCACATTCTAAAACAATCTGGGTGCACTTAGCATGGCGACTTGTAGGCAGAATGCAGTAGAACAGTATACCTGTGAATGACCAAAATCAATACAAAAGTGAGCTTTGTCGTACATGTGCTTTTAACAGTGACAGTTGAATTTTCAAAAATCAAAGCTTGCAATGTCTTCTGAAAAATGCATCACATTGTTGTTTGCAAATTCCTTGATTTTCAGTTTTTTAAATTATAAAATCAACTTATACAAAATTCAATTGCCATGATGACATATGACAAGATAATGGGACTTTTTAATTCAAGTTGACTTCCACTAGCCATCCGAGACTAACATACAAATTTATTGAATAAACAAATCCATCACATCAGGAAAATGCTTTAAAAATCAGTGTAAAAGCATTGAAATCATGAGTTTTATTTTCAATCAGTAAAAAGTGCCAGACTGCAAAGTGTATAAATGGGTCTAAAGTAAATAGTTTTAAATAAACACATTCCACAAAACTTAAAGAGGAAAATAGTCGGTTGAGATTATTTCACCTTTCCCCTCTGCATCTTTGATCTTCATGTCTGACCCGGCACTGGCTAGCACGTCCAGCGTCTGTACGTGACCGTACTCAGCCGCCCTCATGGCTGCTGTCCTCCCCTTGAGGTCCACCACGTTGGGATGGGCTCCCAGTTCCAGCAGGAACTTGACCATGTCATCGTCGTTGACCCGGGCGGCCAGGTGAAGGCCCGTCTCCCCGTCGTTGGGCTCGCTGTAGTTGATGAGGTGGGGCACCCCATGGGCGCACAACTTCTCGATCTGCGGCTTGTCCTGGTTGCGGACGCACTGCAGAAACTTGTGGACTTGGAGTATCTCTAAGCGAGTCTGCGCGATCGGCATCTTATTCCAAGTAGGTTCTCGGTAATATCCACTCCAGGTGAAGACTCAAAACCGACGTCGACCCCAAATTAACGGAGCATAATGTTTTAGTCTTTCCTGTACAAAAAAATGATTGCAGTGTTACTATCCCGGCAGTTGAAATCCTTAGGGGTAGGCAGCGTCAAGCCTTCGTTGATGAACGCCTGTTGTGATACAACAGTGTTCCGTATCACGGCAACACTGGCCGACGGAAGATCAGTGGCGCAATTAGGAAGTACCATAAAATCGCATTATAACTCCAGTCACTGCCAGTGTTTACTGTCTTCTTATTCAAACAATGACTTCAGAATCAGGATATGTTCAGTCCCTGTCTAGCTGAGATACTATTGATGAAACAAAGGTCGAACTTCTGCTTATTTATTAGTTTACAAATGCTTCAACTCGTGGCCACGGTAGTACACAAGCTCGACACCTGTTTCATTATCGAACTTCACTAGCAGGTGTCCCGCTCTAATTAATGTTCAAGCCGAACTGAGAGCCATTCATTGGCAGGCATAATGATGCTCTCCGAATCTACCTTTGGAAAATAAATCCCAGGAACTTTCAAGTAAAGAAAATATTCCTTCTTATACAATCAGGTTTCCGCACATAACCGACCAACAAGCTAACAACATGCGTGTCGTAAATCGTCGCACATATACATGTACTCTATGTGGACACACCGGCGTGTGGCCTGTTGCCATGGTTGCATTCCCACAGAGCGTATTTACACATCAGCGGGTCGGACTGTGGTCACAGAAGAACCCGTCCGCCACAGACATGAATAATTCATTACTGTTTTGAATCAAAGTTCAACTTCTGGGGAAGTTCTGGTTTTACAAGTACTGTCATGACTGCGATTCTGTGCACCGATAGCGGAATTTTATGTTGTGAAAATAAGTGATGATGGGAGAAAACAAAGAGGAAAGAACACAGAAGTGTCAGAGTAGTGTGAACAAAACTGCAAGTTCTATATATTTGTGACCTTAATTGTAAATGACCAAGCCAAGTTCAGGCTTAATCAAACCAAATTTACAGTCTCTCCGAGGATTAGGGATCATTTTTCCGAACAAAACAAAAAATGGTTCCTTTGGAGGTATCTTGTCAGTGGCCCATAATTATTGCCCCCTTGGACCTACTACCCCTGACCCCTCCCATTTTTATTTGTGGAGATGACAGTTACAAGCATTTTCACACTGACAGTGGCCATTTTTTTTGGACATCAGACAGCAAAATGTGGCTTGGAGGTTTGAATAATAAAAGTATTGTGTGCTTTTTTTCTGTGCACACAATTGAAAAACTGATTACAATTTTTGTACAGAGTAAAATTCGAGATGAATTTTGTGTTCAAGTCCCTATTTAAATAATTTTCCTGTGAACCCTTGTTTACATGAACATTTGTTGATTACTGAACAATTCTGGTTAGAAAAATTAAAAGCAAGAAATTTTGAGAGTAGGGACTCAGCGGTGGCGGAACGGTTTTGAAGAGCGGGGGGGGGGGACAAGCCCAAACAGGGGTGGGTCCAAAATGTTTTGGTGGGAGTAAATATTTTTAATACCTCTAATGGCTTTGTACAAAGCGGGGGAAGGGGTGCAAAAAGCTACCTTTTGAAAGGTTAGGGACAACACCACCACCCCCCACTGTTGTCGAGACTAACTGCATTCTTATGCTATTGGATTTTCAACCCTGCATTTGTTTCACACTTGTTTCGTGTGAATTAGGCTTCGGGGTGAGTTCAACCCGGAAATGAGCACAAACAATTTTCAACCCGGGTTGAAAATCTCAACCCTGGTCCAGAGCAGGATTGAGTTCAACCCAGATAAGAGTCAATGTCAGGGTTGACACAGGGTTGAAATTTTTCAAGTGTGAATCGCCGCCCGTTTTCAACCCACCTTCAACCCTGCGTCAACCCTGAGATTTGTCTAGTGTGAAAAGGCCTAAAGTGGAGTATTCAGGTAGTGGAAAGTAAGCGTGGTAAAAGAAATGACAATCCAAGAGAAAAGTACATAACATAAATAATTCTTTATTCAACACTTAAAAGCACCTACCATATAACAAGAACAAAGGCTTTGTTCAAACTATTAGAAAAGTGCTGAAAGACAAGCAAGACAAAGCAAAATTGGGGTTTTATGACTAAAACCTGAACTTTCAAAGTAATCAGTCTGTGTACTGAAGGATTAAATGAAAAAAAATATAAAAACTCTGGTTGAGCATTAAAAAAGAAACAAAAAATGAAAATAAAAGTTAAGTCTGACTTCAATCTCCAACCGCAAGATTCCATTTTTTGTGCCTTGATGGTTATTGTTACTTCAAAGCGAACCTTTCAAAGTGCCTGCTCTCAACTTCATAATTTTCTGTATCTTAAATGGGCTAACAAGAAAAAAATCATGTCTGAATTTTGTTTTGTTTTCATTGCTATTTATATTTTCTATGTCAAGGTCAAATAACACCAAGAATACGTAATGTGTAACAAAAAGACACATAAGAATTTAAAATTAAGCAGAAAATGGTTTATTTCCACTTCCACAATTTCACATAAATTTGGGGTCCTACAGTTTTATTTAATACTTTGTGCGGTTCCAGATGTATTATGCTAGAAATAACAATAGTGCAAAGTTGTTCATGGGGACAGGATTCCATCCATCTTACAAGCGCACAAAGTATTTTTGAAAACTTCAAAACTCAGTCTTGGAAATGCTGTCATCAGATAAGGCACAGGCACACAATCAAAAAAGGGCATCATAAATAATAATAATAATTTCAATAATGATAATAAATATAATTTACATTGAGCATGTATCCACCCTGCTGGGTGCTCAAGGCATATCATCACATTATCCCTGCACATTGGGCTCACAACAACTGAACATTCCTGAAACCATCTCAGCTCCCTGAGGAGCATACTAGCTGATGCTGCCCTATCAGTCGCACACGGCTAACATAACCAAATCTACCCTCACAGGTACCCATTTACTCTTAGGTGGAGAGAGGCACATCGGGGTAAAGTGATTTGCCCAAGATCGCAACATGCTGCCACCAGTTGGATTTGAACCCCTGACCCTATGATCAGAAGCTACAAACCATAACCGCTAGGCCACATGTTCCCTTAAGGGCTGGTGAGAGGGTTGGTATGAGGAACGCACTTACATATTCGTCAATGCACTATTAAACGACATTAGGTGGAAGAGAACAGGGGTCATGAGTGCTTTCGCTTTCTAAACATCTTAATATCTAAGCAATGCATTCTTCTCAAAAGTATAAATTGGTCCAAGTCTGGCAAAAGTGTAAACTTGTTGAATTTTGGCAGATGCAGGCAATCAGCACTAGGAAATCTGTAGTGTTTCCTTGCTCTTCTCTCACCAATTATAGCTTCAAATTAAAAACATTCTGGTGATCAGTCTCATGTCAAGTCACAAATGCAATCTGAAATATCACGTGCAGGTGTAAAATACCCCGAAATTCAAGCTGAGAACTGCATACCCACCTTTAGCAGGGAGGCTTTAAGCAAGAACAGAAGTGGGAGTTCTGCAAAGTCAGAATCTCCCTTGGTTAAATTGGTATGCAGTATGTTCGTGGTCATTCTAAGCAGAGAGGAAACATGAAAAGTTGTCAAATCTGCAGTGGACGCACACTGACGCTGTCTCGGCCTCCATTTGTCACCGGTGAGCAGACGACTCGCGCACAAAAACTGATTACACCTGTCACCTTAAGCCTCTGACTCCAGCCGCCTCCACCACAAAGTAACAGGTGTCGTTGGGCAGGTGTGGGGCAAATACCACCTCCATGGTCCTGACAGGAACCCCTGCTGTCTCAGGTACGGTCCGCTCTGTATCTGCAGGTTGGGGCTGATGACCTGCTGCATCAAAGGAGGACAGCTTATAGTTGGTCCGGCCCAACATCAGGCGGGTTTGGACCAGGTTGGACCAGGCCAGGCCGAGAGCTGGGATGAGTTGGCATTGGTTGGAGTGTGATGAGCTGTTGTTACTCATGTTAGCAGTGACCTGTACATCACAAAGTGTTTAAAGAGAGATAATGCATTGTTCTTTTCCCTGAAACTTTTTTTCATGTAAACCTTCAAGTAAAGTTATTTACCTGGATGAGTTGTATACTGCGTGTAAAAATATACTAAACTTAAATGAATGTCTCTGCTCAGTTACTTCAATGGTGAATCTTGCCCATTCACGGCCCAAGGGAGGCAGTCGTACTAAAGACGAGAAGCCCAGACAACTCTTACCACCTCACCTGGTTGACACAGACCACGGGCACGTCATGCAGCCAGCTCAGCCTGTGTAGCTGGGCACCCAGTGTCTGCAGGTGTCTGGCCCTTCGGGCAGCTTCCCTGGGGCTGAACTCACACCGAAAGAGAGCAGCTAGGGAGTCCACAACGATGAGCTTGACGCGACTCTGCTTCAAGAGGAGAGGGATGCGATACTGGATGCAGTGCACTAGCTGGTCCTGTCAAATGGGAAATGAACCACAAAAATGTATTGGGTGGTCTTTCACACCCTGAAGGTTAGCAGGACATTTCAGCTTCAAACCTTGAACAGCATTGATGCATTTCAAAGTTTCAACTGAATGTTCCACGTGACTCTGTTGTCAACATTTACGAGCAATCCCCTTATGAGCATGCAGTTATAAATACATGCCCAATCAGCTTATTTTAAAATAATTAAATTCACAAAGCTCAGTCCAAGATTTTAAAAAAAATTCAGTACGGAGCCTCTGCACAAGGTTTGTACTGCTTTTAACCTATAACCTGTATGTTGTTTAACCTATATCTGGTCAGGTTGGATCTGGTAAGGTTGTATTCAAGTTATGTTGGCTTCAAGTGGGTATGGTTAGGTTGAAATGGCAATTGAAAAATCCTGAACAATCGAAGCAAAACAGATCACCTCAACAGAGTCAGCATTTCAGTGACAAACTGGGTGACCCACCCTTTCTGACAAGTGCTCAATGAATATGTTGTCTCCAAGTTTCAGCTGGTGATATTTGGTGGCACTCAGTCTCTTCTGGAAATTCTCAATGAGCTGGTGCAATCTCTTACTTGGGAAGACATCTTCAGTGCAGATATACACAGCCCCTGAAAAAAATGAATGTGAGATGGGCCAGATTTGATACAGTACCAGAGCTTACTTTTCAATAAACAGACCCCTTTGAATGATTAGAATATAACTTACATCTATCATTTTATAACTGATCTAGACGCTAATAACGATTTGGCAAATTCAGTATGGGTACAATTTGACAAGTACACAAGTGTGTTCAACATGTGTGTTTTGGTTATGTGGCACCGACTTTTCATGTGAAAGAGCACACATTTACATGTTCATCGCTAGAAATATTGATACTACAATACATTATAGAATACAGTTATAATAGTTTGTGAAGCATGATGTTCAAAATGAGGCAGTTGAGGCTGGCTATTTTTCTACACTGCCAGGTAAAATGTAACTGAATACATCGTCTACAGTGGGCTCTGATCCAAGGATACCCGTGTTCCCTGATGACTAACCTCCATCAAGTCCTCCATTCACAGTCGACCTCTGCACACTCAGACACAGCTGCATGCACAGCTGGGTCTTACCTGCAGCGCTCTCCCCAGCAATCTCAGTGATGCCAGGGGACAGGATGCCTCCCCTCAGGAAGGCGTCCAGCACCTCACAGCCCGTGCTGAGGGAGGAGACTCGCAGCGATTTGGGACAAGTGCCTTGGTACAACTCCAAAGCTGTAGGCAGTGAAGCGTGTATTATTAGTACATTTGTGCTATGCACCAGAGAGTGAAGCCACATGGTTCAGGTGTTAAGCTACACATTCCAAAACCTGACTTAATTCAAATAGACGGACCAGTCAATGACATTGTTGACTTTTGGGGAAGAAGTGCACGGTATAATACATAACAGATACAAAAACCATCAAATATAATGACTAGTGACTGCTGCATGAGTAGTTCCAGAAATTAAGGGTCCAAAAGTGTGACATTTTCGTGTCCATGTTACATCTGACCTTTGTTATTCAACATGGACATATCACCGGAACTGATTTCAAACTATTACTATTTGTTTGGCAGGTGATTTGCATTAATTCATCACTCTTGAAAATCAGAAAATGTGTTCTGAACTTACAAAATCATATGTCCGATGTAACAGGGACACGAAAAAAAATGGACCCCCAATTTCTGGAATTACCCGTAAACTGAAGTAGCTGCTTTGGAGGTGAGCCAATCTTGTCAGATTACCTACTTCTCTATCCTGGTGCAGTTGGGACATTCTAGTAAAAATCTAGTTCTCTCAGTACTATCAACAGGAGTCCTAAGTTCGTGAGATACAGGTGTAGTAGAAAGAAACGTGCTTCCTAAGATAAAGTAAATTTGGAATCCAATTTTGTTAGGACCTCAACAGAGAGTACATGTATACCAGTGGCCGATGGGTTCTTGAAGACTCTCCTAGAGATTGTCTGCAGTAGTATCCTGACATCATTAGCTGACAGCTTAGTACGTCGTTCAACATCAGCAGAAGACAGGTTCAGGATAGCAGGAAAGGATACAAGGTTGGCTGTAGAAAGGTGGACAAGAAAATCTAAGAAGGCATATGATGCTTCCCATTTTAAATATTGAGCAAGGAAACCAAATACTTGCTTCTTTACATGATCAGATGATGGAAACAGCTTGTCAAGCTTGTCTTAATGATATGACCATGATGACATAGACCCAGTAACCTGGGCACAGTACTTCTTTTCCAGTAAAACCAACCAAAGTCAAAAATAGTAAAATTACCATTTCAAAGTTAATGTTTTAACACATTGTTAACTTTGAAATGGTACCCAGGTAGCTACAGAAGTGAATTTAGGACAGAGGATGAAAATATTTGAAATCGTACGTACGGTTTACTATTTCATACATATGAATGACTACTTCATAAGTACAGTTTGGTAAATAATGATCGTAGGCAATGGTCACATTCAAAATTCTGCCTTTAGCAGAAGCATCCCCACATCGATTGAAAAGAGCCATGCTGGTGGGGAGTGTTGTTTTTGTCATGTTTGTTGGTAGGGCTGGACATGTACACAACGCTTGTATCTCATAATCATACTCATAGTCATTCGTAAACCAGCAAAGTGGACTTACTACCAAAGGAGCCTACGTTACTAGGAAATCGCGCCCCCTTTTGGTCCGGCTCGGGCCCAGTGAACTGAAGTATTCTCTTGCAATGTAACTTTAATACTAGTCCGTACGTACAGTTTGACAGAGTAATTCGTACATACAGTTTAGGAATCCCTACGTACAAAATAGTATTAGTAATTGGTTTCACGTACGGTTTTGTATTCTGTACGTAGGCCTGTGGTTTAGTAATCTGTACGTAGGAAATAGTAATCCGTACACAGGAAATACTAGTAATTCGCATGTAGGCCTACGAATTAAATTTTTTTCTTACCATAACCTGATAACAAATACACTTCAATAGGCATTCTCCTACCTTAGGCTTAACAAAAATTTGAGAAGCAAAATAATTTCTTTCCAACCTTTTCTAACGGCTGCTAAAATTCTTGGATTCAATTCAAGATCATCCATGTCTGCTTCTTTATTGTTTTTTCTATATAAATGCACAGGCTGTCAAATCTGGCGTCGCTTACAAAATTCATTTTTCCCTCCGAGGGAGTTAGCTGAGCTCGACGCTCAAGAGGTATGTTACTGTATATAGCGCCCTCTATAAACCTACGAGGATTACACATTGGATTACATTAAGTAGACTTAATTCGAGTCTCATACATCGAAAACTGGAAGGGTTTCCCATAAACACAATGGTAAAATAGAAAGTTCAGAATTGAATTAAGGCCACTATTGCTTCAACTCATATCAAGATGGCCGCCTCCATGACAGCTGGCAAAACTAAAGACCATTAATTTTGCAAAAACGAATGAATAATGTACCAAATGGTCCTTAGAACATCATGTCGTGTGTGCTGAGTAACGTCGGTTGTTTCGAGGATATTTCTGCTGTGCGTAAATTCCTTATTCCCAACAATAAAGTCTCGGAAACAGTCGATCTTGGTAAGTCATGTAAGTAAACTGATGACGTTTGCCTCAATCTTGACAGTCTACAGCCACAGTCATGACAGCCTAGGACCTAGTCTGCTAGGAGTCAGGTTGGCGTAACCCTCGCCTTCCACCTCTGCGGTCCGGATTCAAATCCCGGCCCGGTCCTCACGTAGATTGGGTTTTCAGTCCTTAGGCCTACGTGAGTCCGTGGGTTTTATCCAGAATATTCCTCTGGGGTTTTCTTCCCATAGTCATGATAGTTTTAGCCCCACTAGTGTGGCACGGATCACTCCCGATTTATCCTTAGCCACACATCCGTATGCGCTATTTCGTGTCGGTGAAATGAACATTTTTGGCGCACCAACTTATAATTGTGGGCGCAATTTCTTTTGCACACTAACATGATTCTTGACCTTTCCGTTTTCTAAATACCATTTATTGAATGATTTCACTCACGTTATTCAGGTATTTTGCAGTCTTTTTTCCTTCATCCATTCAATCTAACGGGCCCACTCACAGTGGCCATCTTTAAAATAAGGTCGTTGAGCATTACGTCACTTGACCCCTCATCGTCTCAACGGCTGTTCCATGTCAACACATCTAAACTGCTGCCAAAGTTTTGGAAGAGTCCATTGGTACATGCAGTATCTTATCGCTCAGTCCGTTTATTACATGTCTTGACATGGAACAGCAACAATAATAAGCTCTATGCAAGGTACTTGTGACCAAGGTACAAGTTGTCTCGTACACGAAGGTATGAGTTGTCTATACTGGAGGTACAAGTTGGCCAAGGTACGACTCGGCAAAGGTACGAGTTGGTGCAATTATGATGAGTTGATGGTACAAGTTGTCCAAGGTACGAATCGACCTGTTCCCGTCTCCTCCATAGGTCTCTTCAGGCTTGTGAGCTACAGTGCGTAGGGTTCTTTTGAGGAATCCTTGGTGTCATTACCAGAAACGATTAGGCCTAATAGGTAATAATAATGAATGAAGTTGGTGAGATGTTTCCTGTTGGGAACCTTACCAACTATATGATTCAGCTCCAGTGTTAATCATAATGACAATGTTCCTTATTGACACTGAGCTCGATTGGTCGATATATGTTCATTCTTCTGCCATTAGCTGCTCTCCCTTTCTTTCTTTGTGGTTGTTGAAAATTGTTTTTGAATACGGGAAGCAGGCCTAAAGTTGTTCAGCATGATCCTTATCCCCAGAAATGGTGGATTTGTCATTCCCCATTGCATTGTCCACTCACCATGCTCTCTGCCTGGGATGATGAACCTCACATGGGTTCTGGGAGTACACTATTTTCACTCTCGCAAAAATTTATCATCCTTCCTGAATTGATTGGGCCTGTCCCATAAATGGTTTCATTCCAAGGCAAATCAACCCATGATGGCACAAATAAATTTTCAAAAGATTCAAAATTGTACTGAACAAAATTAAAGATTTCCTACACAATGGACATGATGAATCCATGCCAACAAAAAGGCAATCTATCATAGCCTTGTCCAACAAGGACCCTGCTAATTGCCTCTTGAACAACTATCGTCCACTCATGTCTCAGTCTTGCCAGTGTTAAACAGGATGGCAAAGATATCACTTGACACCCTATGGACAAACCCTCTGAGGCTATGAGACTGATCTGGAAAATGCTTAGTGTTTTCTAACTCAAATCTGACTTTCTAGGACATGCTATCACTATAACCACACAAAGAAAATATGGTGATATCCATATAATATAACGTCCTTACTGCAGTCATGACACTTTTCAAAAACATGCTCAGGGCTTTCTTCTAAAAATAAAAGAACTTTTTTGGGTGAAACAGACTTACAGGTAATTCCAAATGGTTTTATTTTCAAAATTATATTTTACCAATACTTGTATATTTAAATTTCATCCAATCTTCTCAACCAATTTCTTTTTTAAGCAATATGTTCCAATAAGGACCTTATCGCTCAATTTTCCCTCAAGGACCTTACAGCATTGGCACGACGATATGGAACGTTTTTCATAATTTTAGTCAGGATAGTGTAGCTTACTAATTGTAACTTTAGAGCATTTGACCCATAGACTGTATAGTGTATGTAGGTCGACCAATTCCCTTCAACATTGATTTAGCAGAGTTTTGACCCTGAATCAGGTTGGTTCTTCTTTTTTGGGTGGCATGGCACTGAATATGCAATTTGAATGTTTTTAGGGGATTTCAGAATTTTTACAAATTACAATCGGTTGTTCATTTTTTATGGAGCCAGCATTGAACCAAAATGATACGATGCTTAAGTTCCCTCAATTGAATGAGTGCATGCATAGCTTAGCTTGCAGAGTCCAAAGCGTAAATGAGGATTGCTAGGCCATCAGAGGTTTTTTCTACCTCCAAGTTACGATGTTTGAATTGCAGTTTATTTCACTTTATATTCATTTTTACTGTTAGCCCTGAAGGATCTTTTTTGGAAGGAAAAAAGTCCAAAATTGCACCTGATCTGACTTCCATTTCATGAATATGAATTCACAGTAACAATATACAGTTACCATTGAACCTAAAGAGGACGTGCCACAGTAAAATTTAGAAGTCCCCCAAAATATTCACCTTGCATGTTCTGTTGCTATGCCTCGCTACAGAAGCAAAAGTTTGTTTATGAGGGACCAGTCCATGGTCAAATGTCCGCTGCCAAATATGTACAGTGACAATCTTTATAGTCTGGTTCCAATTTTAATTTGTTCCATACACATTGATGTGAGTGCATTTGGCACAGATCATAAATTATTTTCCCTGGAATGTGCACAAACCTGAATGGCATGTGAATGTCAAGCAACATGTGAGCTAGTTCAGTATTTCAAGGGCACATTCATGTACAAGATGAGGCATATTTAAGATCATTGAGTATACTCAATATAGGGTTGCACTGGATCAGCCCTATCAGCTTTAGCAGTACGCATACTAGCTCTGAACATGTTCAACCGGCACGGTAGGTGGTTATCTATGATCATGTCTTGTCCTGGAAATCGAATGGGCTTATTGTGCAGTTATTTGTCCACTGCAGTATCAACTTGAGTGTTGTCTCTTGCAGATGGATGGGATGATGCTGACTGGAGTTGGAATCAAGAGGATGAAGAGGTCGGTATTAAGACAGAATCTCAGCTATTGTTCTCCTTCCAGGGCCATCCTTTTAATGACCTTGCCAGGTTCACTCTGTGTTGATTCCTTGTAAAGTGCATCTCATACCCTGAAGTCTAACTCGCCAGCAGAAGTTGATCCTTCCTGGCACGTTGCACCTGTTGTTTCTGTTCCTTAGCAGAGATATTTGCACAAGTTTGGGGTATGGGTATGTTGTCTTCATGATTGAGACTTTCTGCGTAAAAAAAAATTCAAAAACGAAGAATTTTTCCTCCCGAAACATGGTTTCATAGCTCAGCCATTTAAGAGAGGACTTACCAATTTCTAATTTGTTTGGATATTAGCCGTTTGCTGAAATATCAATTGTTATTTACTGTCTATGTGTATTGTAACACTACTGAAGTTTGTAACACTGCCAAAGATCTTTTTCTCTTTCGTAGCCCCACTTTTTTTCTCCATTTTTTAGGGGGTGGGTGTTACAATGAAAATTTCCTGACTCATGTTTTTTAACCTTTTTTCTTCCAGGAAGGAGAGACATCTGAAGGGAAGAAGGATGACCAGGAGGCATGGCTGCAGGAGTGTAGTGTCTCCCTGTCTCCCACCAGTGACCTTATGGTTCTAGCTTATGAGGAGAAGGCGGTATTCTTACAACGTAAGCAAACTTAACCCTGTCAGACACTGTTTAACAAAATATAAAACTGTTTGTGCCGAGGACGTATATTATTTTTTGTTTATTTTGGTTTACTTTTTGTTGAGATTTGTTTCCCGAGGTGTGAAAAAAAAGCTGTGTAAACTAAGTAAAATGTGAAGGTAACTGAGAAATCTTGCTCTTACTTTTCCAGCCATTCAGTAGTCTGCTTTAACTGTAACCATTCCCAGTGCAGCAGGATGAAATACTGTCTGCTCTCAACATTAAAAAAGACTTTTACCCCCCCAAAAAAATGCTGAGCAAATTCTGTGAATCCCGATGTCTTCAATTCTTATGTTTCTGTTTATTTTCCACTCCTTTTGTAACAAAGTCTTGCAACTTTTATATTATGAGAGTTGATAGTATATATTTAAATCTGTGTGACTTTGTTATTTAGAGAACTTACCAGTAGCGGCCAACTCTGGGACAATGACAGCTTGTCCCTTGGAACAGTGTTATTGTTGATTCAACAGTAACATTGTTTGGCCTTTGGCTGGCTAATGTGTTGACGTTTTGTTTCAGTGGAGCATGCTTTTCAGATTTAAGAGCAGAAAAGAAGCTACTACTTATCCATTTTATTGAAATTTTTCAGTTCCGTACTTTTAATTTTCAATTTGAAATAATTGTTGAAATCTTTTACGCCAACAGAGAGGTGGGACCCTCGGGATGAGGATGGAATTGACTATCGTTACCACATCATCTACAAGGGCACCCTCAACCAAGACGAAGGGTAAGCTGTTCATGGACAGTGAGTGTAACAAGGTGTTCCTTGCCTGTTCAAATGTGAGGTGCCCCACCTCACTCATCTTTAAGACAACCCATCACCATTATCACCACCTAACAGTATAAACAAAAAGCTATTAGGCCGTATACAAAACAAGGTTCTAAAGCTGGACTACAGCTGGCCCTTATATATTTCTCACATGCGAATACCTAGACCAAGATTTACATAGATTTGATTAGAGCCTTCTGGTCAAGGGCATTTTGTCTAGGGCCCCTCCAAATCTTCTGCATTGTAGGAATCCAAACGTGGCACAGTATGATTGTCTCTACCTCTTTTACTCCTGCAAATTCCGTCAAAGCCTCCTGATGGATATTAAGGTTCTTTAGATTTAGGTTGAAAATGTTGGCAGTGTTAACATTCGTTGTTGGTGCACTATCACATACCTGCCCTTTTCCTTGTACATGTACATGTCTACACTGACATCCTGACAGTTTTCTTTTTGAAAATTATTTAAAGATTGTTTTGTTCTTGCTTTTTATGGTGGAGGTTTGACAGGGGGGCAAATAGTTACTTGTGTGGTTTCCTCAATCTTACAGAGAGTGTGTGACTAGCGTGCTATGCATCCCTCTGGCATCTCAAAAGCGTAGCTCACAGGGGGCACCGGATTGGACTTGTGTTGTGGTAGGCTTTACGACGGGCTATGTGCGTATGTACACTGAGGTGAGTTTTCAGAAGGCTTCCGTCAAGTTAGAGCATTAAGAAATTTGCTGAGAACAGAAAAGTCTTGCTTTGTCAAGCTATAATTTGAGCACAGACTGGGCCATTAATGGAGCGTCTTTCAGTGTTGTAGTTTAGACCATGCACAAGACCAGGCACAAGACCAGTCACAAGTAACTGGGTGAATAATGACAAAGGAATGCTTTTGTTGCAGTTCATTTGAATAGCTTGTGACTTGAATTCAGACTGGAGGTCTTGTGTTGGTCTTGCAATGGTCTTGTGAATGTCATGTGATGGTCTTGACTACAGCACTGGTGTCTTTGTGTCCTTTCTTAAGATTTTGAGTTTTGAACAATCTGTCTTTGCTTCTAGACTGGCGCCCTGCTACTGTCCCAACTTCTCCATGAGGATCCAATTCTGAAGCTAAAGTGTCGTACATATGAGACTCCCCGGTACCCCGGCATAGCTGAGCAGCAAGAAGAGCTGACAATCCTGTATCCCAGTGCATTGGTTACCATCGATGGTTTCAGCCTGTTTCAGTCTCTCAGAGCGTGCCGCAATCAACTTGCAAGAGGTACTTTAGGAGCCAAGTTGGATATGTGCATGCATATTCCTTTTTGTTTCTCATGTCCTGGTCATGCTGGTCAGATTTACGGATGCCTCAGGTTCAAATTTGCTGTGTCAATAACGTTGTCTTCAGCCCCATGTACTCACATGGGCTTGATCCAAACTTATCGTCGAAGTTACTGTATGCCGCAAACGTCTTGGTTTGTCTTATATATTATGCTGAGCCATGCAGGTTTGAAAAATGACTGAATAGTTCAGAGAATTGATTTAAAATGCACATGATGTTTTAGATGAGTGAAGCCACCTTTTTTCATGTATGTTTGATCAGCAGTGCGAAGCTACAGTTTTCCACATTACTGAAATATGGAAGTTCAAATAAAAGAGTAAAGTTAACTAAAAAGTAGGGAAAACCAAGGATATAGAGGGACCACCTTGCAAAAAGGTGTTCACATCATAATATTTAACACCGGTTATTACTGGTGTTGTGTTTCATGCTTACTTTTGTTTCGTTAAAATGTCTCTAGTTTTCATTATTTGTTCCCAGCTGCAGCCAGTGGCAGTGACCAGATCCAACCTCCCCCTCTAGCCTACAAGAAGTGGGGACTGGTCAGACAAGATGCCATCACTGACCATGTCAGCTGTGGTGTGTATGTCCCAGAAATCTCAAACCTCAGCTCTCTGCTCATTGTCATAATCCTTGCAAGTTCCCAATTGAAAGCAGGTGTATTCCTCTGCCGTTTACCAAACAGTTGGCAGAAGCCAGAAACTGTTCATAAAATATTCTTTTAATTTGTTTGCTGTTCAGAGATTTTGTTTCCATTAACCTTTGTTAAAGTTAATGTATGAAGTAGGCCATGTGAAATTTTAACCTTATACAGTACCCCAAAAGCTAGACTTTGTTCACCTGTGTACTTCTATTCATTTTTTGTTGGAGTCTTCATTTTGCTCTTGTACTGTTTAAAACCTCGTGAAATCATGTCAAAAATATATTTAGAACAAAACAATCAAAAGAGAGCTGACATATATAAACATGGAACCTCATTTCATGTTGTTATTCATGAACAAGTAATTTGAACAGCACTTTTCAAGTCCGTAATGAATCATCAAGTCACTAACCCTCTTAGTTGAATTTCTTCCGTTCTTCTTCATTCCCACGTTTCTTGTGAATTGGCTAGAGATTAGACCTGTGATGGGCTCAGCTGCCACACTGACCTTGAAACATTTTCCAGCCATCCGCAGTTGACCTCTCTCAATGTTTTTCTCAATCACCCCTTGCATTTTCTTATCAGGCGTGGTGACACCCTGTGCCTTTGACCAGCTGAATGCAGACTCCATCATCAATGGCTACACTGCCAGTGTCAAGGCCACGCCCCCAGCCGCCTCGCGCTATGTCACCACAGGTGTTGGGCCATATGTGGGTTTCTTTTATGCCTTAGAGGTGAGATGAAACTGTGTACAGATGGAGCCCCTTAACAGTAGATTTGCTCACTTGATTTGATGAATAGAATTTTGAGAATCAAATGTGAAGTGTTGATTTATGACAAGCTGATATCAGAGAAATGAAAAAAAAAAGAAAGAAAGATATTGAAAATATCAGTTTTTTGTTTTGTTTCGTTTCATATGAAAATGGATAAATGAATCATTGTAACTCAAGTTTAGTTTCCTTTTCCAAGGATGGATTTGCACCGGGGAGATGTTAATTAGTTTTGGATTTTTTTGCCCTGCCCGACACTATATTTTGTGTTTGCCCCCAAAGGCTTGTGAAAAACCACAAGCGTACTCAGATGAGACTTGAACCCACGGCTCAAATCTATCCTTGGAGACAGTTGTTTATGGTACCCGCTGCTACATCTGACTTGAACCAGCCAACTGACAGTGCCAAGCTCAGTGGTCAAGTGGATATAAGACGTCTGCACTAGTAAGCAGGAAGTCGTGGGTTCGAGTCCCACTCCAGGACACTTGTGGGTTTTTTTCACAAGCCTTTGAGGGCAAACACTGAGTATACACGCTGGGCAGGGCAAGACCAATTAACATCTCCCTGGCACAAATCTGTCCTTGGAAATAGCAACCAAACTTGACTTATCAATCCAAAACTAATCCAGTTTAGTTGCATTATTTGCAGTAATGATCCGAGCATGCAGGACTCCAATTTTACTCAGTCCCATTTGCTTCATGGGCCCCACAGCCTGGGCCAAAATACCATGGCTTTTTTCCTTGTGGTTCACAATGTAGGTCTCTTAATGTTGTCTCCTCTCAGTTACTTGGGAATGGAGGAATACTTGTGGTCAGGAACAAAAATTGTAAAAAAGATGAAAATTCTGAAGTTGCATTTTGCCAAAACAGTGTATTTTGCTCGGAGACCAAAACTTGTCACTTTGCACATTATCAAATTACACTCTTGATTAATTGGCAGCATTTAATATTATTTGTGTTCTGTTTGCGCGTTGCTACTACAGGGAAGCAGCCAACCGTTGCTTTCTGATGTTGCCATGGCGATGGCAAGCAAGCTCAAGTCTGCATTTTTGTCAGCCGCAAGGTACTAGGTCTTTATAGCTAAATGTACTTGAAATCACAGACTCGACCAATATAAAGATGCATGTTTTTATCTTATCTTTTTGTTGTTGGGGAGGGGGTCCCTGGAGGAGGGGGGAATTGCCCCCTTGTCACCCTTGGCTATATAGCCAGGCTCTGCTCAGGGGCGGAAGGGGGAGGCAGTGGAATCCCCTTGATCCCAGCTATGCCATGGTTGTGGCAGACAGTCAAACAATGTCAAAACAACTTTGTGTGTGCTGTTTCCACCAGTCACTATAAGTGATTGTTCCCCAGATTATTCTCCGGAACTGGTGGAGGAGAAATATTAACATGCTAAGCAAAAATCAATAATCCAGCTTGAAAGCAATTTGAAACAGTGTTCATCGTCACCTGATAGTTTTGGCTTGTATGCTGATTTTACTTCTTTTGTGGTCTGTGCTCAGTCAGTAAGGTTGCCAGTAACTCAGCATCTTTCATTTTGCATTGCAGTGGTTGGTTTGGCATTGGCAGTGGCAGGCAGGGTACCGAAGATCAGATGGGTGCAAGCAGACACAGACCCAAAGTGGAACCAGCTACATCCCTGCCAATCAGGTAAGTGATCAGCCTCCACGTACTCTGTCAAAGCTTGATTTTTTGTGAGGTAATTGTCAGAGGTATACAGGAATTTAAAAGTTTCACTTGATATGCATCTCTGGTTTTGATTCTTGGATTGGTGTGAGTCGTGGTTAAAACATAAAAGTAATTACATCAGTCGAAATATGTTTTTTAACAAACAAGCTATTTAATTGATAACACCGGATCCAAAATTCTTCCTCTGGAAAGTCAACATCATGAAGCTAGAATCCACCACAGAGACAGGTTAAAACATTAAGCAAAATGTAAAAGCTTCTGCTTTATGTTTTTACTTAGTGTAGTAATTCTGAATGAACGTGTTACGGCTGTGAGTGCATGTCTGAACTGACCACTTTACACTTGCATCTTGAAAAAAGTCTAGGCACTGGGTTGTTTTTCTCTCAAAGTTTACTTTAGTTTTCAAATTGTAATTTGGAAGTAAATATTTATGAGGATGTTTGAGGATCAACAGTTCAGAGAATATCATTATAAGGGGAAAAAGACTGTGCAATATCCGATTAATGGTTCATCTGTGTGAGCCTAATTGAAACCTCTGTTTTGGCAACAAATCTGTCATATGCAAATTTTTTGTTGTCGTTGAAATGCCAATATGGTGAATAAAATACACTCAAATTGTTCACAGGCACTGTGTGATGTAGTAATTATAGACAATCCCTAGTCATGAGCAGTTCTGAAGTAAACATTACGGTCCTTTAGAAATAAATTGAACAGCATTACCAGTGATGCATTCTCCACAACTTTTGGTGGCAGTGGCTGCCTTTTTAATACTCAAAAATGACTTCATTTTTTCTTCAATCACAACGCTTGATAAATCAAAATAGTTCTACAATGACATAAACTACAAAAATACTACAGCTCTTTCCAAATGCAATAAAAGACTGCAACAAAAACAAGATGCATGTACTGTAGAAACAAAATGGAAACGATAACAGCAAGGGTTTACTTCTCAAATCTTGTACACGCTATCGTTTCTGCAACCAGATAGAAATGTATTGCTTTCCGAACAGAATATTTGCTGGTGGTAATGAAAACACCTGTTGGTGATTATTAGGTTATGCAAATCAGCCGTTGTTGTGTGGATGTTAATGTGAGTGTTCGTGCGTGCATTGATGGCTTATGTGCAGCGCTGTCAGGTAAGGTTTTGTACGGTGAGTCCAATATGCACATACATAAATGTGCACTCGGGCCTTGTCTAATTACTTCCTAATTACTGCAACAGAAATGCAGAAAACGTAATTCAATTATAGCAAGATTCACTGTCAGTGGTTAACTGTCAGATTTGAAGAAATATGTAAAATTGGCTTTGCTTTTTTGCACATAAACTGAATTTTAAAATTTCTGGACTTATATTTTTGCACCAAAATGATGACACCTCTAAAATTCATTTTTAGGTCCTAAAAGTCCTAAAAGTGTTATGGTATTGAACATCTGAATATTCTCTGCTTAAAGTTCTTCAAGTTCATACATCTACACATCTTCAAGAAAAAATATCTAAGCTTTGATGATTGCCGTATACTCCAGGCTAATTACCACAAATTGAAAAGCAGAAACAAAAGTCACTTAATTTCCAGCTATACATGTCTAAAGGAGTGATTTTTGATTGATTGGTTATTTCACAACTAACTACAAGTTCCTTTTGTGATGACCCTGGTTTCATGAACTTAAAAACTTTAGACAGAAAGAATTGACGACAGAAACAAGGAAATTATTTCATTGATAATTATATTCACCAAATTAAGCTATTTATAATATTTACAAAGGTTTGGAGTCTAGAATCAAGTTCCTCAAATTCTTCAAATGCTCTGCATGCAGCTACTTCTGTACTTTTTCAGCGGTTTCAACACATCATGCTTGATTCAAAAGTTACATATTTTTTGTAGGAGTTATCTACCACAGTACAGATCCAATGTACAACATTTGAATATTCAAAATCCAGTCTTTCTAGGTTCCAGTTCAATCAGCTTTGTTTAATATCAAAATTCACATGATATATAGCACTTTGATTTCAAATACTGAGTTAACCAGAACTTCTAAGCATTTATACCAAGTGCATTCAAGAATCAGGTATTCAATGTTGCTCAGAAATAACTGCTTACTTTAAAACAGAACTCTCTCTCGGCACAGGACACGGTCAGCTCAGGTTGACGTCATGTTCAACAGCGGCGTTCAAGTACCAGCAGACAAGACTAGACACGAGTATATATATCTTGGTTTCCGGCCATGGTTATATCTTGATATTAAATGTTGGAAGGCTGAGTGTTGCTCAATACGTCATCTACAGGACCGATAAGGTACTCTTTTGCATTGCCGAGACAAATTTTGGCACTGACAATGGTATATGCCAAACTGGTGGGTCAGGTCAAATCGGTGGCAGCTTTCACCGATTTGCCAGCAAAACCTGCTGCCTCAGGCATCTCCGGGGAATTTGGCACCGGTTCCTGTCACACTCAGCTCCACTCTCATACACTCAAAATTATTATGTGTGTCGTCCTTCTCGATCAGGGAATGCTGTGATCGGCAAAATGTACACAATTACATTCTTTCACACATGTTCAACAAACACAGTAACAAAAACAGAGGACATAAACAACCATGGCCACACTGACAATAAATTTACTTAACATGATGCAAGCATTAAGGCAGGTTGAACACAACTTACTGAAAAAAACTACCGGGAAATTACCTGTGTATGTGATTGATCTAAAACTTTTGGCAAGATCGATTCATTTTTCCGGGGATGTTACAATGACCGTCAAGCGCAGAATAAACGGGCCTAACAAAGGAACGGCATGGGGGAGACAGGATACTTGTGACAGTGATGTTGGCTTGGTTAATAATTAAATCAAAGCTCATAATATGCTGAATTGAAAACATTGTATAACATAGCAGTATGCACAGGAGCATATGTTAATGCATTTCTAACAGCAGTGCACGTTGGAAGGGCATGTTGTCTGCCGCCGATCATCTCAAAAAGTCTCTTTAAGGAAAAAATTAGTATCGGTTATCCTGAGATTAAAATGACTAATCATTCTCTTTACCATTGTTTACAGGTGCGTGTACACAGCCAAACAAACAGAAATATAAATGTAAACAAACGTTTAAGCAAGCTTCAATCAATTTACCAGCAGATACGTGATACTGTGGTTACTTGTTAGGCCAGCGGTCATTTTTAGCACAGCAACACTATTATACAAAATCTATTGCAACCATGCAATCTTGTACTTTAAGAGGCTCCACAAAAGAATTTCGACTTTAATGACCATTTATTTACAGCAGAGTTTTTCAAATGTTTGAGTGCAATTATTTACAAACATTTTGGGATAAATGTAGTTTCGTGTTTACTAAGAAATATTACTTACATGTATCAGCACTATACGGATAAATGATAAAATAATGTTGTATAATCAGTAAGGATATTGAATGCCCATTATCCATAGGACCTGTATGACCTGCATGTATACATACATGTACATGTATTTGTTTATGCAGGTAAAGATGGAAAGGTAAACCGAGAGCAATAAATGAATGCTACTGATTAAAGTAGGGGTGAGATTTCTCGGCTTTTCAGCTGAGTTCAGCTTATGTTGTTTTGGATTTCAGCTTTTTTTCTTGCTGGCTGTGTACAAAAGTTTAGGAGATTTTCACAGTTCAGCTTCTTATGCCTTTTTTTCAGCTGTTTTCAGCTAGTTTTATCATTGGTCGATTTCACCTCTATTGAAAGGTTATCTTGATAATGAAGTCATTTAAACATGGAAATGATGCAGCCATAATCTCACACACGTTGATAAACCTTGACATTGTGCACATCGGCTACTGCCAAGTCTCCATCGGGAGTGAATGTGATGCCGAGGGGGGAGTTCAATCCTCTGGCTACGCAAGCAATATGTTCCCCCTTGGGACTGAAGTGGTGAATTTCACCCCTCTGGCCCTTGATGGTACCCTGGAGGGCCACATAGATGTCACCGGAGCTGTCGCAGCAGACCCCAGTTGGTTCATAGGCCGGGTTCTCCTGGGTCAGAGTATGGAGAGAGAAGATTTCCTGGCCCTTTAAGTCGGAGGCCAGCAGCAGACGAGCCTGCAGGTTTGTGTAGATTATGCTCTCCAAGCCCCCAATGGCCAGATGTTTGGCGATCAGCTCTGCTGGAATGGCCTTGATGAGAGCTCCATCCAGTTGGTGCAGGGAGACAATCCTCTTGCCTTTGTCTCCAATGGCTATCTGGTTCTTGCAATCTATGGCAATACATCTGAGGTCGCTCTCTGGTTCCTCTTCTGCATTGACCTTGCTGCTTGAGGTGGTGACCTTTCCAGAAACAAACTGGTTAGCTAGTTTTTTCTGCTTGTTGAACACCTTCACAACAGGCGTGTCTATCACTACCAGCTGGTTGTCTGTGCTGACAGCGACGTCACAGGGCTTCTGAAGTTGTCCTTCGGGGTTGTTCTCACTGGGCCCACTGATGCTGCTCTTGTACTTTCCATCTGAGCTCAAGATCGTGACCCTTCCATTAGCTGGATCGGCTACAGCTAGGTCGCTGTTGGAGAAAGCTGCAATGCCCCTTGCCTCCATGAACTCCCCATCTCCCATACCTCGCTTTCCAAACTCATCCTTCATCTCCCACTTTTCTTCAAGCAGGAGTTTCCCAAAGGATCCATCTTGGCCCACAGCACTGTCTTTGAAGTCAACAAAGGACAAACCATGCTGAAGGACAGGAACTTGCTTCTTTTGGACGTCCTTCACGATGAACAAGATCTTTGACTTGAGTTCCAGAACCTCAAAAGGACTTCCCTGGGTCAAAAAGTCTTCTGCAATGTCCAAAGTGTACTTGGACCACTTTAGACTAGCAACTAACCCAGCTTGGAAGACTTCAATCTCAGACGACCTGTCATCTTCAATCTTTTTGACTTGTTGCTTTAGGTCCAGCTCACGTTGCCTGATCTTTGCAACCTCTTCCTCCGCCTTCTTGGAAATCTTTGTGATAGCATTAGTTACCATGGCCCTGAGTCTCTTCTTGGCATGATCAGTTGATAACTTGGCAGCTTCGAACTCATCCTTGTGATCTTTTGCCTGGGTCAGGTGCTCTCCAAGCTCTTTCTGGCAAATGGCCATGGCTGCATGAGGATCGGTGAGGTCGTGGTCAGGGGCCTTGTGGTCCCCGACAGCGCAGGCTGTGCAGACCAGTTTCTGGCAGGTATTGCAGTAGTGGCAGATATCCTGGTTGGAGTGCTTCTCGCACTTGGGCACGGTCGCCCGGACCTTGCTCCTGAAGGTGACACTGCCACCACGGAGGTCAGCCAGTGTGGCGATCTTGTGGTTCTTCATCTTGGACAGCCGCTTGTGGGCGGATTGGCAGTCCTTACAGAGGTAGTCGTCACAGTCCATGCAGCGGGAGATGGCCTCCTGCTCCTCGTCACAGGACTCACACTTGATCTTGGACAGCTGGCTGGCCACCAGCTGTTCCTGGAGCCCGGCCTCCTCCACCAGGGACATCAGTGTCAGGTTGTCCCGCAGGCCCTCGATCCTCGTCTCAGTCAGGGATGTCTCGCGCTTGCACAGCGAGCAGATGATTCTCAGACCATTAATCTGCTGGACCTGCCTCTGCTCCTCCAGGCAATTGCGGCAGAAGCTATGGAGGCATTCCAGGAGCTTCGGGTCAGCAAAGCGCTTGCAGCAGATGGTACACTTGAGATGGCCCAAGGTAATCCTGTCAAGAGTTGTCTTTCCCGAGATTCCAGCCATGACAGTCTGTATCTTTAAGAGGAGTGAAAATAACCATATCTTTCTAGATGCATTTGGAATTTGTGAGAGTAAACTGAACAATGAAACAGTACACATGACCAATGAGGCTGTCATTCTGTCCAACTCTATGCAGCGTGGAGTGTGTGGAAATAGATATGGGATGGAAATGAATGAGACCCAACCTTACCCAACGTGTTACAAATAGCCACAGCTACTTTGGGTGAAAAGGTCCAATTTCACAGCCTTGCTTAACACATAGAATGGAAGTGGTACAAATGTACTGAAGCAGACAATTGTGCTGGTTTTAAAGCCCTGTGTCACAGTGTGGATCTGCTTAGGATTGTTGGACATGGAGATTTAGTCCCCGACTTCAAATTTTTCCTCTGGCTTTAAAGCCTGCATTTGCTGTGCTTTCTGCTTGATGGTCTCAGTGAAGGAGATGCAAATTAGCTGTTAGGGAGTGTCATGATATTGGGCCCTTGCCTTCAAACAGATCTTATGCAGTGGAAATCAATTTACCCTGTCGTGATTTTTTCCCCAGTGCCCATTTTGTCAAACTGAGCAGTTTGCCAAAAGGAACAGCTCAATATCCTCTTTTTGATACAGACTTGAAAAAAAAATACTTGGTGAAAAAAATAATGTTCTTTAGACTCATTTTGTAGGATCCAGTCACACAATAAAATCAGGAATTTATGTCACACTTTTTTGTGACTCAAGTGAAGTTGTTTACACGTATCTCTGAAGACAGTCAGTATAAATCTTTAAATGTAGGAAAAGATGGATATGATTTGAAAAAGTAATTATCTGTAGCTTAGATAACCAAAGAATTTAGCAACAAAAGTGATGCTTCCTTTTATCCTTTCTGTCCCTGAAGTTTTTGTGTATTGTAGACAATCTGGGTACGTTGAACTTAATGTATTTGAAAGAGAATTTAAAGACATACATCTCGGAAAAGTTATCAGAAAATGTGAAAATTTTTCCAACCCTTCTCTCGTGTGTACACGATGCAGAGGAGATACACATGTGTCGGCGTGTATCGGTATTAAATGTAGTGGTATGCCCAGTTGTCCCTTAATGGTTTTGGTCCCCAGGACAAGCTAACGGTTTGAAGTGAGAACATAGGACGAATGTCCAGCCGAGGACAACAGGTCCTCATTTGGTAACCTGCATGCTCATACCCAATATCTGCAATTCACAAAATGGATGGATAATTTGGTCCTGATCTTCTTAAACACAAGCAGAGTCAAAGTGACAGTTTAGAACACAATTAATTAAATTAAATTAAATGAGTTTAAACAATCCTTTTTGCACAACTGACACAAGTAACTGTATGACTCATGATGACAGCTTAATTAAGTAATGTCTACCATAGATTACAAATTCATAAATAAAGCATAGATTAATAAATAAACATTAATTCATAATTCTAGACAGTTTTTCTGATGGAAAAAGAGCCTTGTGACCATCACAGACAAAATCAATGGCAAACTGTGTAGTATTTTGTTGGAATTCTACTTTTTCATGACCATAAACTGATAGAAATGACCTATTACCGTGAGCAAATCGAACCCTCAAAAATTGCAGACATAAAAAAAATCCTATGATTCCCGCAACCATATTGTTGGAAACCTGTTGCTATCTGCATAAAAATTAGTTTATTCAGCCAGTTCCCTTCAATTGGCCTTCCCAATGTCATCGGATATTTCCATGAAGATTGGGATTTCCTCCACTTCTTTCCCATTTGCCTCAGTGTCTGGGTGGCAAAGCGAAACAGGCAAAGCAGGTCTGTAAAATTATGCAGTTTTCCGGTTGTTTACACTGAGCATAATGAATTACAGTCGGTGAAAGCACGGGAAACCTTAAATACAATCTGTATCAAAGCCCTATCTAAAGGAGAAAGGGAGGAAGCATCCATACCTGTTGTTCCTAAATCTGTCGCAGAACTCAATTCAATCCAGCTTGTTGGATGGGATTACTCCACTGTTTGGGTTTTTTTACAAGCAGAATCCACAACTCGTGGTAGTCCTTGACAGTGCTCACAAGAGTAGTGTAGTTAAACACTGCATGTAGCCAGAATTCCACCAACTGGTACACCGCTGATGTGGCCCATGTACATGTACATTGGACCCACAAAGTTCAATCACTGGGCCCTTATGAAGTGACAAATGAAAATATGCCGTATGCATATGTACCCACAGTGAAATCCGCCCATCTGGAACCCCTCCAACCGAGGTGATTGCATGTAGACCCCGACCTGCATTCCTCTATTCAACTGACAGCCAAAACTTGTATTATCCAATGAGGACAGAAAAAAGAAGGGAACAGAATGATTGATGTCTGGAATTTGTAGGATAATACCTGAGCTAGCTGGTTTATTACACCCTGCAATGTCACCATGACAATAGCAGCCAGGGCTTAAGAAGTCTGGCCAACATGAGAATATCCGTGCAGGTTTACTATTCTGGAAAGTTTTTGATAAATTTGTATAAAAGATTCAGTTCAGCAGTGCGTGTCACTGTTGGGTGTAATTTTGTCGGTGCATTACACATTTACCTTATAGCTAAAGCATAATACCTGTGTGACCTTTTGTTGACTTCACCATGCTGTCTGTGACACTGTGTGTGGTTGCATACCAGCATATATGTTTCAAGCGACTAATGAAAGGAATTCATTTTAACGTAGCAGTAGTTTGCTTCTGTTTTTGGCTTGCGTCAGCATTTTATTCATTAAATTTGCTATTTGAAAAAAAAATTCAGACTCATTTCGAGTGAAGTGGAAAATACTTCAAAGCTTGTCAGCTACTTACAACTGTTACACATGGACATGACTGTGAAGTAGCAGTCATTGCGACAAACCATAAATAGACTCAACTCAATGAACAAGTAATGAAAGCACATTGACTGAAATCAAAGAAATGTTCTCATTTTGTCATTTATTTTAAGTGTATGAGAAAAATATTCACCATGAACAGTTGAACATAAAGGGCTTGCAAAGTGCACCCTTCTTGAGGGCCGATTTTTGCCCCTCTGTGATATTTTATGCATAAATACATTCACGGTTGCTGGAGTTAGAAAAAACCTGCCTTTGGAGTGAGGTCACACAGTGCAAGTTCTATTGTGCTCAGACTTGAAATGAATAAAAGCAGAGGGCAAAAGGGACTATTCATGCATGAATTATGAGTGACATTATCAGAAAGCATAGCAGGAAACAATTCATTCAGTTTCATTACACCGTTTCTTTTCTGATAATTTTTGATTTGATGCCAGGTTCTTGATTTTTCTGATTGCGTCTGTACTTTACAGTTTCAAGCACCTCTGCCATGTCCAGGCCTCAGTGCTGTGACACTGGAAGTGGGACAATTGTTTTGCCCCCCTTGGGCCACTTTAGGACTCTTGCCAGAAATGCCAGATGTCCAGTCCATTTGGCCTCAGAATGATCAGAGACAAGCTAGCCAGTGGGATTTAACCAGGATAGGTTTTCAAGTGGATTGTAACTTGATGATCACCATTCTGCATTTACAAAAAGCTGGCTGGAAAGCTTGTGCGAACTTTGTAAATTCAGAATCCTCATTAGTTACCATATGTTCACATTTGCACAGAGATACTTTCCTTTGTAAACTATAAAATAACTCACAGCACTGAAATTTACACAGGTACATGTATGCACATATAGAAGTTGAAGATTTCCTAGTCCGAAAGAAAATAACACCATGACATTTAGTTTTCCAATATTGGTTGACTTCAAGACACAACTGTTTCAATGCTTACTGATGTCGCAATTTGTTTTAAAATGAAAGCCAAAAGAGCTATTGCGTAGTTGCCCAGTATGGGTGAATGTTCATGTTGGAAGCTTGTAAGTGAACATACTGAGGGAGTTAGGATAAAAGAAAAAGGTGACATTTGGGGATTACCATCCTCTAGTAAGTAGGTATATGCTTCGTTCTCAGCGATTGAACCTGGAAACTTGTTACTCTGTTTAAGCCTCCATGTGATCTTTTCTTGCTCACTTGCAGGTTCGGTTTGCCTGACCTGAGACGCAGTGGCGATTCCTTGCTACTCTCACCAGGGACAAATCTCGCTGTCACCACCGACAGTTTTGGTCGTGTCATCCTGATTGACCTTGTGCGGGGCATTGCTGTCAGGATGTGGAAAGGTATGAATGCGGGTGTCCATTCCGGCAAAGCCTTGTTCTCCTCTTATCGTGTCTGTCAAGTAGGCTCACAGACTAATATTTATCAAGCACTTAACACTGGATAAAGAACTGTGTCAATTGCTAATGTTCAAAGCAAGGGCAGAACTCCAATCAAATCAGTACTTCACTCAGCGTTGTATTGCCAAGGATAGCCAACATTTGGAACTCTTGAAGCTTTTAGAAAGTAAACATTTAAAGAAAGTAGAAACAAGTCTACATACATGTACATCCAGTAATCAGTGTTAGCCAAGCTGTAGTCTGCTCTGTTCCTTGCACTCAAACAGTTTTTCACAAAAAATAAAACATTTAAAAGGAATAACATTCAATTCACAGAATGTCAGCATTTCCAACCCAACTGCAATTTGGTCATATTATGAGATGGAAACACACCTACTGCCCACGACTCATTTCTACTTGTACATTTCCCTTGTTTGCATTGCTAAGTGGAAGGTGCACAAGGATGATTTGGTTTGGGTAAATTCTTTTGTGGTTGCTCAAAATCTAACCCCTTCAGATAGCGCCCTCCTATTGTGTCCGCCACACCTCAAATAGGTTAATTTTCTTTTAAGCTAGGTTCTTAATGCTAACTGAAAACTGTGCATGTCTCATGTAAATCTTGATCATTTGAGCAAGTTGGTCATGAAGACTCCTTTTCCACGTAACAAAAGCCTGAGTATTACACGTGTGTACTCCAGGTTATCGTGATGCGCAGTGTGGATGGATATCAGTCACTGAGGACTTGCTTCGTGACAAATCAGACCCGGTGGCCTCCAAAGCCCAACGGCAGCGGACACGGCAGTATGGTGCCCGGGTGGCACTGTTTCTGGTCATTTACGCCCCGCGACGAGGCATCCTAGAGATATGGAATACACAACAAGGACCCAGGGTAGCTGCATTCAATGTTCCCAAATCATGCCAGTAAGTCATCAAAACCTGTGCGTTCTGTGAGCTGCAGTCGGTTTGAAGTAGTAAAATAATTACTCTGTGTGGTATCACAAAAGGCTCCAGTTTTGAGCGTTTACAAAAAGAAGAAATAAGAATCCAGCAAGTGAGTGTTCTCTGAATCCTTTGGATTCTCCCCAACAGCTAAGGGCTTCTTGTGTTCAACCATTCCCATTTGTTCTGAGTTTCTGACTTGATATTCAACAGGTGCAATTATCGGTGCAGTGGAGATTGATGTATGTGAATAACATTACAATGATGTAATTACAAAGCCTCTATTAAAATGAAATTTGAGTCTTAGTGCGCCACCACACATAAACAGTAAAGAACAGATGATTAACTGCAGGATAGTAGACATGTACATGCAAATGCAGACAAGGGGTTTAGAAGTAACCTCCCGGACTCAGCAGTTTCCTCTCCAACATTTGCAAAATCGTTCTCTTCCCTAGGCTCCTGTGTCCAGGCTACGGCACGATGGGTCTAAACAGTCTGTCCCTTCAAGACTCCCGGACCAGGCCGCACACTCTTCAGTGTTGTCTGATCCAAGCGGATGGCTTTGTCCGGACCATCAGCGTGCCCTTCCACCTGGCCTTGAGTGACAAGAACAGCAAAAGAGCCCATGATCTGCATCTCGTCAAGAAGCTGTGTGGTTTACTTCATCATCGGGCTACAGTGAAAGGTACAGTAGGAGTGCATGTTGAAAGGATTTTAGTTTGGTCCTAAAATTTACCGTGAATCTACATGAACTTTTTTCAATGTTGCAGTCAAGTTTGTCACAAGTCCTTTCACAAGAGTGCATGTAATGGGGTGAACAATGACAAAGGAATGCTTTGTTGGAGTTCATTTGTATACTTTGTGACTTTTTAATTCAGACTGGATGACTCGTGATATAATCTACTCCAAATTCAAACCTAGAATGTACTGATAGAACCATGTTTCTCACTTTTGTAAAGTTTGTTATTTGAATTCAGACTTGATAACTTGTAATAGATTTTCCCATGACACTGCTTCATTTGGTCTTTTCTTTTACCTAGAGAAATGCACTCCTGTGAATTGTTTGGTTCAAATTCAGACCTAGAATATAGGATTATGTTTTTCATTTATGTGAACTTCAGAATGCAGTCCCAGTATTTTCATGTGAGGTTTCATTTTCAGTACTGGCAGTGGTATTGTTTTTTTTGGAGACATCTGAAGTTGTAGCTAGGGAACGCTAAAATGGCATAACATGTCCAGCAGAGATAGACGTTCTGTATATTGACCATAAGGTATAAATCCGCATATTTTGGAAATCTTCCTACTTTGCTCAACTCCCTATTTTGCTCAGTGCAATGAGAGAATGTTGTACATTGGAGACTTTCAGCCTGTGAAGCATTTTCTCATTTATGTCATAGAGCCCCTGGACGAGGCAATTACAGCAATTCTAGTAGACATCAAGATATCATCCTACAAGCAGCAGGTTGGTCATGTTCATTTTACATGGTAACCACCTTCTTAGGAAGAGTTTGGTGAAGATATTACTGATAGCAAACAAGGATCATCCATGGGATCAGTGGTTCCGGGTCTTAAACAAGTCTGATATACCAGAACCACAGTCTCAGACAAGAATTACAGTCAGAATTACGGTCTGTCAAAGTTGAAAACCTGTTTGCTAAGTGTGTCCTTAGAAAGGTAGTCCACCAAGCACACAGCCTGACCTTAACCTTTCCATAAGTTTGAAATCTAGATCGTTTTTGGAGTTTGTGTTATGGACAGGCTCTTAACTGAAGTCCTGTTAGCATGCCAGCTTGTCTTCATATTCTATAATTTTGTTATGATTTTACAAACCTGACCATTTACTACATTTTTCCATGATTAGGCACTTGAGAAAGTCTTATTGGCCCGTGGCATGAGCCCATTGGTCCTCCTCCGAGTTGTCCGCTCCCTGTCGTCTCATCTCAGGGCCCAGGGACCTGATTGTCTGGACTACGAGGGGCAGTGTCTGCTACGCTACTGCAGCCTGCAGGAGGAACTGTTGCAGGTTTACACTAAGCTGCAGGGTCTGCACAGCCTACAGGAGATATCTGGACCCAGCGATGAGGCATCAACCAAAGTAAGAGAAACAAAAGATCAGGTTGAAATAATCAAAAATGTTCTAAGGAAGGGACTGATGAGGCCAGCCTATTGAGTGTTGAAGGAGTGAGCTTTTAGTACTCCGTCATCAATGACGTCAAATAGGAAGGCTGTGCTGACACGTCAGTAGCATGGGCTTTCTTCGTGATGTGGCCAGTTTGCATAGAGCCTTGAGTTCAGCTTATTTATTGGACAATCTGAGATGAGAAGGTGCCTACCTATTATGTTATAATCACAGATATACTTTCGCCTTAAAAAATGAATCATGAGGGCAAAAAGATGACATTTTCTTCTTTTCCACACCCAGGTTTTTAGGATTCTTTTACAGGGATTGCTTCCAATTTAGTTCAAGGCTGACTCATGAATAAGCCCAATTGGTCTGGCTCCATGATTTCATGCACTTTCTAGGTTGCAAAATGCCCTCGCTCATCATGCCCAGAGTCTAGGGAGTCTTAACAATGCATCCTGTACGAAGAGATTTTTGCCACCGACAAGTATCTAGTTTCTGGTCTTTGCCTGTAGCGTCCATTGCATTCCAGTTTATTGTGCTCTGTCTTTATTTATGACCACCCCCAGAGTGGCTTTAAAAATGGCAGCATTAGGAATGTGCCGTCAACACTTGCACAGATGTATGCCATGGTACTGTCACTTTATTTTAGGAATTAGCGACAGCATTAGACATCCCGCCAGAAGACATAAGCTCATGGCATCAGCAGATCATAACGTACTTAGACGTCGCTCACCACTCCAAAGTCCACTTTGCATCGGACTACCAGATGGAGGCCTCGGCATTCCTGGGCTGCTTTCAGTCCTACGTGGAGCACCAAGGGACCAAGAAGGGTGGCCAAGATGGGGGAGGTGGTGAGACAGAGGACAGGGAGGAGGCGGGTGGGGCATCAAGAGGAGATGAGCTGAGGATGAGACTCAAGCTCAAGCCAAGCCTGACAGAGGAGTACTCGGTCAAACTAGGTCTGTGATCTGTCTCCAGTTTTCTCTCCAACCCCTTACCTTTCCAGATTCTTTAAAATCCAGGGGATTTCAAGAATTTTGTAAGATTGCGGAAGGACTGTCGAGTCATTACTACTACATGTACGTGTACTCCACGGAAGATGAGGCACAGGGAATACACATTGGTTTCGTGTATAAAAGAAGATTTTAAAGGATTTTGGAAGGTTTCTATCAAAACGCCTTGGGAGGTACAGTGAATGAACCAGAATCAGATTTTGGTATGATTAAAAAAAGGCAGCTGTAGTCTTTTTTATGGAATCAACAGAGCATATTTGGCAATCTTCCCAGTGGGTCTTTGGTAGCTCTTACAAGGAGTGGAACAGCATAGTGGCGAGAAATAACTTTTAAAAGATTTTCTGGAACTGAATGATAACCATGCAACAGCTGGCAGCTCAAATGTATGCCCAAGTAGCTCCACAGTGTATCAGTGTAGTTATGATATAAATGACTTCAAGACTAGGTGTACTGAGCATGGAGTTCTCTCAACTGTAGTCACAGTTCTTGGTATCTGCCGTTGTGCTTGATTCTGTTTGCATGGTACCTGCCCCCAAACAGGAGATATGTTGAAGGATGTAAAAGATATGTTGTACATGTATGTTGCATTATTATACCCCGATGCAGTGTCATTGATGCCTTGATCTTGTATTGTGCATTTATCCCTGCAGGTTTGTTTCTGTATGGAGCCTGTTTGAGAGGAGACTGCCCTGCTCATGACTTATGTGCAATTATCAAGAAGATAGATATCTCATCTGAGGAACTGACAGTGAGCACATTCAATTGTTAGATGCTGTGTCTTTTGGCTAAGAGAGATGAGGGTCCTGGTGGCTCCACAGTAACATGCATATTCATTACCTTGAGTCATGCATATCTTTGGATAATTCACAGCACCCTATTGGCCGAACGGAATGGTCGAGTTGTTGGATGATCTATATTGGGAATTTCGTGTTCATAAATTCTGTGCTATTCAAAGTGTCATTTCATGCTTTTTGAAAGGCATAAAGCCCTTGCCTGTGCACTGAATGTATACATGCCGTTTGTTTCTGTTGTAGATTTTACTGTTCAAAGTTTGGCTCCAGAACGAGCAGGATTTGCTGCGGCCTGTCTCACACACGCTGAACCTCCATTGCCTCTTGGGGGCGCTGTGCCATGTCACCGGCCAGAGCAGGCAGGGGAACTGCTGGCAGGAAGTTCAGGGTCTACTCAGCCATTCAGAAAGGGTTGGAGCTGCACTGATGGCAGCCGTAGTAGCTAGGCGTGTTGCCGTGGAAACAAGGGGCCAATTAGAATTAGGAAACAAGGTAGGTGCAGCTGATTTGTTTCAGCTGTTTTTTTGCACTCTGCAAAAGTTAAGTATAAACATTGAATAAGTTTGCATTCTTTTCAGGAAAAATTAATTTTTGTTTGCTTTATCTGGTAAGCAGTAATGATGTATTTGAAGTGGCTCCTTTGTCAGTATTGAACAACTAGAAGATGCTTAACTCCTTGAGGAGTGTACAGAAATTTGGATTTAAAACTGAGCATGCTTGGTTGTTAGTCATAACTGCACAAGTTATCAATTTCTGACAAACCTGTGCTCTAGAGCGTCAAGTACATGTACTTTATTTTGATACCAAATTAAATTTCCCAATAACTGAAGCTCTCATGTGCTGTCTTTAACCACTTTGTGCCGGTGGCAGTTATCAATGTTGATGATGCTGGGGTGGGATAATTATCATTTTTTTCTGTTTTCAAAATTCTTTAACCCCTTGACGACAGGAATTTCTTTCGGAAAGTTGACTCCAAGAATTCCAGCCTCGCTTTGCCACGAAGGCAACCTGCCAAACCGCAAATTCTCGGTTTGTGGCCCTGCGTACTCTGCACGCTTTGAATCACATGGTGAAAAGGCTGATTGTTTGGTGGCACGCGGCCCTACTCACGCTTCCACATTCCCGTTGCCTCTTTTCAAAGTGGGGACAATTGTGAAGCTGGTGATTATGATGCAAATTTGGTCTTTTCATTTCTGGACTACACATAAAGGCCAATTACCATATATACAAGAGCCAGGGTCGCTAAATCCCCAAAACAGTGGTATACTGTTTCAAAACAAGGCTGGATTATCTCCAATATTGGGAGTGAAAAAGTGTTGGTAATGCCCAGCAACCTGGTCTTTTGTTACGAGTACAGTCTTTTGTTACAAGGCCCTGTTCCTTTTGTCTGATTTCGGAGACCCCGGCCACACATATAGAGAATACGGGTCCGGTACCGGAGACCCTGGTGGCAAGTGGTTAAATGTGCTCCTCCATAAGGTTTGTTGTTTCTTCTTTGTCAACTTTTTATTTAGAGCTTGGAATCCACGGAAACCAACAAGGCCGATAGCAGTGACACACCCAGGATGAGGAGCCAAGACTCAGGGGGCAGCCCCATGGATGTGGACACGCCCAGCTCCGATTGGGTGGATGTGACCTTTGACACAGAGGTGTGGGACCAGTTAGCGAGACGCTTGGAAGACATGCTTGCTCTCAGCTGTCTGGTGCATGCCAAACCAAGAGAGGTAATGTAAGATGGCCACGTTCATATTGTGATACATCATCCATGCGGATTATATAAATCTGCTCACTTGCACCGAGGGTGGGTGCCAGTGACCAAGTGAGGATTGCATTCAGTGGAGGCAATGAGAGAAATGGAATTCTGTGGAGGAACCATTTCTTTCAGTCTAGGGTGGTGGCACATAGTGTGTACTGAAGACGATACAACTTTCTGTTCAAACAAAGAATGTGTACCGGAAGATGCCCCATTGCCTCCCCACCAGCTGTGCTTCTGGTGTGTATACATGTACATTGCAAGTTATATAGAGTCTTGTCTTTAATCTAGGAAAGAAAAGTTACGTCAGTGCAGTCTGTGTCTTTATACTGGCATTGGCTCTGATAGATAATCAGAGAGTATGCATTTGACATTTCCTTAAGATCTAATCCAACAACACAGTTGATAAAACTTGTGTCACCTAATCAGCAGACTTCATTGTAATACAAATCTGACCAACTCAGCTCCAGTAAGTGTGAGCAGTAAGCTAGCCTTGATGTTTGGCGTCCTCTCCTGTCTTGTTCCCAGGGCTCTTTCTCTAATCCTGGGAGGGCTCACAGCAAGGCATGGTCTGCCAGCCAGGACACTGGGGCAATAGTCAGTGAGGGTCAAGTCATCGAGGTCTCCATCAACAAGATCCTAGAGGGAGGAAAAGGTCAGTGAGAGGAAGGGTCAAGATTCAAAGGTCATACCAGCTAGAGTACTTAACGTAGGCCGGTTCATTTCTCAGGCAATTGCAAAAGTGAAGCAACGTTGACATCACAAAACTTTTGCAGCAAAATTTGTGTTTAAATGTTTTCAACTTTTGATCTGGCATTGCAAAATAGGTTTGTGTTCACTTCCATGCCAAGCATGAACAGGCCTTTCTTATGCATTGAGAAATATGATTCGTAGAGTGATTTTGTCAGCTTCTGTTGTTGATTGACTGATATACTTTTTCCAAGGATCTCAAGAGGCGATGAAAACTTTATTCAAACTTGCCTTTATTTGAGAGCATTTGTTTGTTATTAGTATGTACATTTCTGTTACACACCATTGGAGTAATTTAATCTTTCCTGCACAGCATTCACATGTACATGTACATATCTAGTTTACCTCAGGAAATGGTTGAGATGAAAATAAATACATAAAGATATTCAAGTTCAAACAAATGTAACTGGTTTGATGACTTCTGAAGTTAAAGATCATTCTCATGGTATTTAATACAGTTTGTCAGCAACAGCCACATTTTAATCAGTTTTTTTGGGATATAGGTGTCATAGCTGAATATGTAGCTAGATGGGTTGCCCAGCAGGGTGTGCCCCCTAGCTTCTTGTCAAACTGCTCAGGAAGCAACCATGCATTTGGAGGTGCATCCAGTGATGGAATGATTCTTGACGATGATGCGCGACAGGTGCAAGGTCTGTTCATTTGGATATTTCACTCTGTTTTTTTTGTGCAGTAACAGTTGTTTCCATTAAAAATTGTTTTTCCAGAATCATCATCTGAGACAAAGTTACAAGTGCATCTTTATGCTATGACTTGTATCTGTGAACATGAAAAGTATGACTTGGAATGCAGAATAAAAGTAAACGTTTTAGGAAAAATTATGTTCTTGCTGCTGGAAACAGGTGCCAATTTGTAAAAGCATTCGTAAAGTACATTGCAAAGTCAACTTAGAATTGGTGGATTTAAACTTTTAATTAACTTTTTGGATTTCATTCAAACCTTTTTAACTTGCATTAAGTCCAACACTTCAATCACGTTGAGTTTTCATCAAAGTA